GCTATACAAATATAACTTTTAACATATAGAACTTAAGACATTTTGAATCTTAGGTAGTTGTTCCTTTCTTTCATTGTTTTTAAAGGCTTTTCTCTTTACAAAAAGCAAAATAATTAGAGGCAAACAAAGCAGTAGTCTCATTTTTCCTTTCTGACCTACACCAAGACATAACAGACAGTTCAAATATTACCAGTGGTGAGCCATGACTATTAGAGCTAGGCCTTCTGTCTAGCATCCTTATGGGATTTTAATAGTATGTCAGCACTACGCTAACAGCAATTCAAATGAATATTTCTTATCTGACATTTGAAGCTTGTAGAAGACATTATATATTTTATTTGACGCTTGTAGCATCTATATTAACATATATTTTACTTTGTAGCATTTTCACACTGACTCAGAGCCCTGAGATACAGCTACCACTGTTTTTTCGCATGTGACTAAAGCGCACTGGTCAGGTTATCACTTGTATTCAGCCAGTGACGTATCTAAGACTTTCAGAAAGCCTAGAGTGACATTTTTTTCCTCACAAAAATGTATTTCTTTCATGTTTTCATTTTTTTATGCATAATGGGATATTATTAGGATTTTCAGCACCAAAAATACATCAATCATGAATTTTTATGACTGTTTCTAATGGCTATATCAGACAAATTGGCTAATAGCTAAATCTTTTGACTAGGTTTTATTAGCTTTTTTTAACCCAAACCTCAAAGCCAAAGTTGCTATATAAGTGACATAATTTGTTCTTTAATGAGCCAAACTGGCATTTTATATTTGTAAATAATATCAGTTTAAATAACATGAATCGAATGAAAATATGAGAGGCAACTGACTGTTTACGGGTGTAGCAGCAGCAAATACAGCATGAGTGCACTTATCTGGCTATAATTATTTATGTTATTAAATTCCAACACAGACTGGCAAAAATCAAAATAATAAACATTGCGTGTTTGCAGCAAAAATCTGCCAATTACAGTAGCTGATTACAAATGCGCACTCCATTCAGATACTGTTTGTTTAAAAATGCGGATCTTTGAAAGGCAAAATGGCTAAAATGCTCTTCCCTTCTATGGACAGATGTTCTTGTCACCTGGCTAATCATAAGAACTCCATGTTAATTAACTCTCATCACATCTTCTGCTGTGTGCTAGTGTTTACACCTGTACATTTGAATCCTTTATCTCAGTGTTGTCTTCCATCTCTTTTGATTTTCAGACAAACTTCTTTTTTTTATAGTGAATCTGCTACTCTTTTCACATCTGGCTGTTATCAGCCAGGGTGAAATTGGATTGGGTAATGGAAAAGAGAATCCTCTTCCTCTTTCACTCTCTATCTCTCTCCATCTCTGTCTGTCTCTCGCTCGCCCTGCCGGTCCCAGGGGAACTCTTTCTCTCCTTTGCCTAAGTTCTTGCCAGTGTTTGCCATTAGCCAGGCTTTGTGCCAGCACCAGAGGCAGATGGTGACCCTGATGAGGTCATGAGACCAGCGTTGCTATGCTGGTAACCAGGGCTGGGGAGAGGAAGTGGCGCTGCCTCGTGGACAGATGGGTTGGTTCCCATGTTCCATCCCCCTCCACTCTCTCTTACTCTCTCTGCCTCTCTGCCTCGCTCTCCCTCTCTCTCTCTTTCCTTTCTCTCTCACTCACATGCGCACTCTTTCTACAATCTAGTGGTCTACTGGAATGACCAACGTCACTTAAGGTCTAATTCCAGAACACTGTGTTCTTAGTTATCCCTGTTAGGCACAGTGCCTAGATCACAGAGGCACTCCTAAAAGCAGCGGAGTGTCCATAAGGTTAAGGCAAAGATTCTTAGTCCTGGTCCTTTTGGTGCTTTCACTGCTCTAAAACACCTTATCCAACTAATCAGCTTGTAAACAAATCTTTCCGGAGTTGAGGAAGATGTTTTAGAGCTGGGAAAACACCAAATTGACATGCATGAGTTCATGGCAACTGTTGCCAGGTTGGACAAGCTTTACAAAACGTTAGCAAACGTCCCGTTCAGCTCGCTGCAGAGTGTTGAGTTTCCAGTTTAAAATGCTAATGAGCTGAACCATGTTGCTCTAATCAAAACTGAGGAAGAAGTTGTTACCATGTTAATGTTAGCTTAATCGCACAACCAAAAAAAACTACACCCAGTACATCCAGTGCTAACAGTCTAACTGTAGGTATTTTTACAGAAACTGAGTTGCACTGTAAAAAAGATTCATTGGATTAACTTAACTAATTTTGCTGCCTTAAATTTTTGAGTCTCTTGAATCTCTAAGAGTAAGTAAACAGAACAATAAGCTGTCTTACATTCTCTAGACACTATTTGAAGTTCAATAAAATCAAAATCTTAATGGAGGCTTGCCACTTGCATTTTAAGGTTAAACATCAAAACATTTTTTAAAGTGTGTACCACAGTTTCTCATTAGGTACAGTAGAGTTTTTGACAACTTTCTGTAAAGGTTGAAGGTCTGAAAGAATGTATTTGTATCCAGAGCATGGATAGGTCAATTGTGCAGGGCAGATTTACTCTAGGACAAAGGCTGGGGACAACTCTCATAAGGCTTCCAGTGTCGTCCCACGGGATGACAGCATTTATATTGTCCTTATGTTAGATAGACTACGATTGTCTGGCGTCTTTCATGACTGAAGACAAAATAGCCAAATGTTCTTTCAGTTATGTAATGCATGTCTTACCCTCCAGTGGAATGTAAGACGTGGGCCAAGACTGATGTTCTGAATAATTGTGCTCCTCTTGAAGACAGCTTGTTATTCATACTTAGCCATTCGTATCAGCCAGGGCTTCTTTCTGTTCTCCACTGCAATCATCATAATGGAAGTAGTTTGCTTGGTTGCTTTATTGGAGTGGTTCTGCATGTTCAGCGCTTTTCCAGGTTGACCTTGTGTTTTTTTCCTAACTACACTTTGAATTTATTTGCAATTTGAAATTAATTGAGAGGAATCACAGAAGCTCTAAAATCAAGAATGTTACAACTTATAACTACGTCAATATTTCTACTTCTTACTATTGGTAACTTGCCTAGATCACTGATTCAAGCCCTGAATAGCTCACCAGGGAGCCATATATTGCCAGTTGCCTGGAGCCATGCATATATGTATTATCTTCCATTTCCCAGTGCTTTCCTTGCCAAGGAAGATCCAGACTCCCTCAGGCAGCCGTGTCCATGAAGTCATGCAGGCCTCATAGCCTGCAGCCTGTCTAATGCTAATGCCTTCCTTTGAAGGGCTCTTGTGACTGAAGTTGGTGTGACACACACCAGATGGGAGCATTAGTATGGCAATACAGCACAGTATGGCAGTACAGCACAGACCAGGGCACAAGGATTGACACATATATACATGCTCATTCTTCGTGATAAAGAAAAAATGCTAATTTTCAATTATACTAAATGATTCTATTGTGTAAGATAACAAGGAAATGTCCCCTCGGACAAACACTTTTGTTTTTATGCAGTGTGAGAGTGATACATATGTCCCATATGTTTTATATACTGAACTCATTGTCATGTTCATTGAAACCAGTTTGAGATGAGTTGTGCTTTGTGAAGAGGCGCATTATCTTGTTGGAGTAGTCACTGGAAAATGGGTAAATTGTGGCCGTGAAGGGATGCACATGATCAGCACTCATACTCAGATAGACTGCGGCATTAAAATGATGCTTGATTGATATTAGAAAGCCCAATGTGTGCCAAGAATTTAACAATAAGAATTTATGCCAAATTATGACCCTTCTATCTGTGCACCATGTCCAGTTTGGGTGAGCCTGTGCCCACTGTTACATCAGAGTCCTGTTGATAGCTGACATAAGTGGAACCAGACGTGGTCTTGTGCTGTTGTAGTCCGTCCACTTCAAAGTTGGATGTGTTTAGCATTCAGAGATGCTTTTCTGACCACCACTGTTGTAAGGAGTTACTGTAGATTTCCTGTCAGCTTGGACAACTTTGGCTATTCTCCACTGACCTAGTTTTTGTATAATTCTGTGTAAACTCTAGAGACATTTGTGTGTGTACATCCGAGGACATCAGCAGTTTATGAAATACTCAAACCACCCATGCATCTACAACCATGTGGTCAGAGTCACTTAGATCACATTTTTCCTAATTTTGATGCTTGATGTGAATTTTAAGTGAAGCATTTCACTACAACAACATGATTGGCTGATCCGATAATTGCATGACTAAACAGGTAAACAGGTTTTCAGGTTCTTAATAAAGTTGCCGGTTAGTTTATGTCAGTACCGAAATGTAAGAACATTATGTCCCATATGTGTGTGTGTGTAAGTAAGTATGTGTAAGGAGACTTTTCTGAGCATAGCCCTCAACCTAACCCTAATCATAACATCAGTAACAAAAAAGAAATGTTTTTTTTATATAACTTGAAACTTCTGCAAAAAGCACTTTGCTAGACCTGTAGATTTTCTTTACTTTTCCTACCAATACAGTACATGTAAATGTATGGACAAATACACTTGCTAACTCTCACAGTTGTATTTTTCAAAGGCTTTAACAGCTGAAAGCCTTGCGTTCCGCTCTATGAACTCCATGTCCTAGTTGTGACCCCTGCTTGTGTCTCTCAGAGAGCATTACCTGAGTCTCTGCCATCTGCAGGGACTGCTTACAGCCTCACCTGAGGGCCTTTCCCAAGCCAGATAGGATTGATTTGCAAATGCTTGTGTCAGAAGTGCACTCTAACTATGACTTGATGATGCTATTGGCGCTTTACAGCCTTATTGTCCTCACCTTTACTGGATGCCATAAAGCATTCAGACATACATTAGGCCTGGCATGAATTCAAACACACCCGGCAACCTGTGAGAATAACTGAAAGGGGGTTTCTTTTATCATTCTAACCATTTTATGCTCTTTAGGGGACACTGTTCCTAGCTTTGAAAAGCTATTTTAGGAGCGCTTTCTTACTGTAATGTATCTTTCTCACTGTCCTTTGCTCATCAATCATGACTGCCTCAATAACGTTATACATAAACATCCAGGTTGCGGGAATCCCACCGGGCTGCCATTCGAGTGATCCAGCGAATGCGGTACTTTGTGGCCAAAAAGAAGTTCCAGGTAAGACTTTTTGATGCTTATTAGTCCTGCTTTTCTGAAAGATTATTACTGTTACTTTGCAGTGGACAGGTAAGGTTATCTGCTTTTATACCAAGGTCTTTATGATTTGATGTAATCCTTAACAAACTCCTCAGTCATTTTTGCTGTGGCTGTGAATCAGTGTTCATCAGCATCAGATCAATTGTCACCAAAATATGCATAACATGCTGTTATTAGGTCTGAGTGAGAAGTTCTGATTTAATTGGTATGTAATGTCTCTCTTTGTACACTCAAGCTGGAGAGAGTATAAACTGAGCGCTAGCCCAAATGCTCTAGTTTGGCTGGTACATTTCATACACTACAGGTTACACATGTCTGTTGAAGTGAGGACTGTAGGGCTGGGCTGTCTAAAATAATATCACCATATTTGCTTGCTGTGAAGTCAGAATTATCACTCAGATGATTGCCTACTAGAAGCCCTGTTTTTAATGTGTCCAGCGACCCAGTAACTGTTACCATGGTAACAGCCCCCAGTGATGGTAAAAACCCATTTACTGCACTTTATAAAAACTTTGCTCATTTACTGATTTATTTCATGCAAACAGTAGCAAGACACTAGTGTTTCCACATTACTGAGCATTTAAAGACATTGGGTCATGTGATATTCTACAATAATATTGCCTTTATTGTACGTAATGTGCTGCATGCAGACATTATTCCTGGACAAAAAAACACCTAAATGATATAGTGCACATTATTGGACATCCTCAGACCACAGCATGAAGTTTTAGGCATTAGACAAAATGGCTTGGACTCAGGAAAAACATTGTGATTACTCAGCTCTCATCCAGTCAGACCAAGCTAAGTAGCTGCAGACACAATAATATTATACAGTTTTTTTTCTTAGTATAAAGCAGCTTAGTAGCTGAATACATAAAACAAATACAGAAATATGACAGTAAAATACTACCACAAATTTCACCACTATACATATATTAATATTTCTATGGTTTGAAAAAGATTACGCTTCAACTCACACACTATTACTGTTCACTCACCTGCCTTAAAATTACTGGACAAAGAAGCATTGCTATTAGTAGTAGTAGTGGTAGTGGTAGTATCTCTGTAAGTATTTTCTGATGCTTCTGGTCACATCGCCATTGTTGTCATAATGATAATAAGAAATAATAACACTTTTTCTTTTTTTTTAAACTTTCTTAATTCTTCCAGAATTATTATGAGACAGCTTCTAAGTCTGAAGTGGACACAGGAGCAAATGAAGCCAAATCTTTGATAATAAAAGATCTATGAAAGGGAAAAATGTAATTTGATATTGTTTGGCAAGCTGTTTAAAATTAAATCAGGCATATCTAGTTCTCAACATGGATGACTATTGACTTTTAAGTGCTGGCATCAAGTTACTTGTCAAACGTTGCAGATATCTGATTACATCACCCCATTGCCCGGCCCTAGTATTGTACAGACTGTCCCCTCCTCTTGCAGTAGACACTTGACACTGGTCACAGTTTTCTGTTGTGTTTTCTCTCTTTGTCCTCCTTCCTTCTTAGTGTCCTTTCAGTTGCCTTTGCTTACCATGCTTATGTATCTTTGAAATCCCCTCACCCCTCCTCCTCTGCTCCTCTCACACACTCGTGTGACGCCGAACACACAGTCATGACTGTGTGTGGGATGCTGTTGGCCAGTTTCACTCTGTCTAAACTCATGGCAGTGTTTGCTCTTCCTTGAACAGATTTACTCTCGTCTGAATTGGGTACTTCCCACCACAGACGTGTGAATGTTTGCATTTTTTTTGTCAGGCTTTCTTGCTTAAGCAACTTGAAACCTCAAAACAAACATGTGACTTCCAACATTCTCCACACATTACTCAGTGACTTCAAATAAAGTCAAACAGCTAAGGGTGTCGGAGCCCAGGCCTAATCAGGTTCAAAAGCGAGGAATCAGCGCTTGATCAATATGAAGGTTTGGCGTCGGCAGATGCGGCTTCTTTACTTCAAAGCCGAAAGAGATCTTAGCTTTCAGGCAACCTTTGATCTGAGGCTGGATTAATGTCAGGTGATGATGAAAGTGCTCAAGTGTTTCTCATAATATTCATGAATTAATTGCTTAGATGTATCCCATGTATCCAGTATGGCAATTAATCAGCAGTTAATTCCGATCATTCTGTTGAAGTAATTTGTCCATGCTGTTTATCTCCACATGCCAAGCAGTAGTTTCTGCCCTCTAAACTTTCAACACCGAATACAAAGAGACAAGTAGAAACAAAGCACTGTGGTGTGTATGTGTGTGTGTGTGTGTGTGTGTGTGCGTGTGTGTGTGTGTGTGTGTGTGTGTGTGTGCGTGTGTGTGCGCGCGTGTGTGTGTGTGTGTGTGTGTGTGTGTGTGTGTGTTTGCAGCAAGCACGAAAACCATATGACGTGAGGGACGTGATTGAGCAGTATTCTCAAGGCCATCTTAACCTCATGGTGCGCATTAAGGAGCTTCAGAGAAGGTCAGCATGTCTAGCTATCTGTGAACTGAAGGCTTGAACATAAATAGTTCTGGTGTCCTCATTCTCCAAATTTCTGTACCCTCTTTGTAGGAGTTTAACAGACACACTTTTAATGATATGAAACATGTTGTGGTTTTAGTAATGCTTTCTTTTACAGTCATGCAGGTTCTAGGTATTAACCAGGTCAGAATGAGGTACAAACTCCAAAGTACTAGGTCATTTTTTTGGGTAAAATGATGGTGACTTTAAAACAGTGTGATTATATTACACTGAAATGCCAAACAGGTTCTAGGCATTAACTGGCTAAGTGTGTAGTACAAATACCAAAGCGCTGTGTAATTATTTTGGGTAAAATAATAGTACACATACAGTCTAGATATAACACATTAAAATGCATAACAGATTCAAGCTATTAAAGGGGCATTTCACAGATTTGTCAAATTGAATGCATAATCCTATCATTAAGGTGTAAACAAAGTCATGCAGAATGGTTTGATGTGAAATGATTCATTGTAGAGAAACCTACCAACTCCAGTGTATTTACAGTGGTGATGGTAGGAACCAGGAATTGTGATGACTACAACACAAATATAGCCATTTTACTCCAAACAGCCAGTGTGCCTGCATATCACTTTTAAGGTTCACGTGTAGTTTTAGTAAAGGTAAAATAGTGGTAAATCTGAGAATATATATATTTTCTATACTATTTTGCCTTACAACACCCGATATGTACCTCTCCACCATAAAGTTTAACAATACATTTTAGGCCAAGACCTTCTGTCAAACCTATTTAAAAGGCATCAGGCAATGTAGTTGTATACATTTTATGTAATATCTTTCTTAAATGATCTCATTAATTGATAATTATTACCAAAATAACTACCTAATATTTTGGAGTTTGTAACTCACACTTACCTGGTTAAAAGATACAAATTAAAGGACTGTAAAAAGTAAATGTATCATGCATTTATATGACAATATGATACAGAAGTAAAAAAGAAGCGGTATCATTCATTTTGTTTTCTTTTTTTTTTTCAAAGTCCAATCACAAACATAAAAGCACAGTCCCTGGTGAAAGCACATTTAACACCAGGAAGTCATTTTCTTAGAAGATAAATTTAACCTTTTAAATACATGCAAAGTGTAAACAGAGTGTAGGGAGTTTTTTCTAGCATAAAAAAACCCTATTTTTGCTGTGCATCACTAAGCTCAAAAAAAAAAAAATTTAGATGCTTTTCCTAACACCCTTACTTTCTTGTATATGGTGGTGTGACTTAGTAGATCTGAATATATCTGAGACAGTCTTTATTTGGCTTCCATAGACTGGATCAGTCCTTGGGAAAAATAACCTTGTTCCAGACAAGTTCAGGTACAGTTGGCTAATTTAGCTCATTCTCTGTCACTCATCTCTTTTAAGTGAAACGTTCTTTTATGCATGCTTTTCTGACTGGCATTTCTCAGTATTCTGTTTTGTTGACGTCAATGTTGTTATGTGCTCATTATGTAGGTGCTATTCTTATTTTCCACAGACCGTGCCAAAGACAAAGGTTCTAATACTATTGGCTCCAGACTCAACAGGATGGAGGAGAAGGTAATGTTTTGCATATTTGTGTTCGGCTAAACTTAGCAAGAATGAGATTGATGACATTGTTGTGCTTCTGAGAAAAAACTAATTTGGAGGAGACTCTTGGTTCCAGATACTTAGAATACCTAAACTGCCTCTCCCTAAATGCCTCCAGACTGCAACGCAGAGCCCTGAAATATAGAGTGTATGATGTGAATTCACTGAGTCATAATGACAAAATCTTTAGCCCATGTACAGTGCTGTGCAAAACTTTTAGGCAGTTGTGAAAATAGCTGGTCATTTGGGCAGTAAGCATTTACTTGCTTTGAAAGTTAATATTGATTAATATTAGAAAAAATACAAATAGCATTAGTGCATTTTTGTCTGTCTCTGTGTTTGCTGTACCATTTCCAAACCTTTCATCACGGAAGCCCAGTAATATTTATATTTATCATCTAACATCTGGTTTGGCTAATCAGTACTTCATTATATTAATTCAGGTGTGCTGGTTATGAAATTTAACAAATCCGTGCGATGGTTGAGTCAGGGAGAAATCTGTATTCAAATCTGTATTCAAACCTTCTAACCAGTTCATGGGGGTAATGCTCCAGAGTACTAGATCATTATTTTAGATAAAATGATAAGTTCTGAGACAGTTTAACTAAGTAACACTGAAATGAGTAAGTGACAGGTATTAATGTACTTTTGGGTAAAAAAGATGTAAAGTACCAAGACAATACAACTAAAATACACTGAAATGACCAACACGTTCCTGTTCACAAGCAGATAAAGGACAGAGAAAAATATCTCAAAATTATTTGGTTTAACAAGGTGGTAAATACGAACATACTCACTAAATACACTGGGATGTTTCATATTTAAGCTGAAAAGTAAATCAGAAACACCTCCAAGTACCTGGTAGTTATATAGTGGCAGTATGGCACGAAATATAAAGATGCCTTTCTGCAGTAAATAGTAAGAACCAAGTAAAACCACAGTAAGAATCAGTGCTTTTTTACAGCCCAGATTCAGATTCATTCATAGGTAATAGACAAGTGCATACTATATAAGACTGTTTGTACTGAAGACTAAGACAGGAAATGTTACATATCATCTACTTTTTCGAAAACAAGAAGTTGTTATTTTTTACCCTGTTTTTGTATTTATTCTAAAATTATATCTAGATTTGATAGGTGGTAACAGAGATACTGTATTAAAACATATATATATATAAACAAATTGCTTAGTTGAATAGACATTTGCAGCATACTGTACAAATTTTACCAGGCTCCACAGTTCTGGGGTATGTTATTGATGGATTGATAGCATTTGGTTTGAAAAAGCTACAGATGTCGTGGTTCACTCATCAGGCTCGAACCTGAGACAAAGTGAGACGCCTTCTTGCCCTTCATTCAAATGTCACTTTTTAACTTACTTCTTGAGTATTTCTCTGAGTGATGTGTGCTGATAAGGGCATTTAGTGTCTGAAAGGACCTGCTTTCCTGTGTGTGTGTGTGTGTGTGTGTGTGTGTGTGTGTGTGTGTGTGTGTGTGAGTGTGTAATGAGAAGGCTCTTAGTCTGACTGACAGACAGCGACTCAGGAGCTTTGCAAACACTCACTCTGCTCCTGTTCATTTGCCACTCTGGCTCTAAATCCCTTTACAAACACTTTTCATCCCAGACATGAACTCGGGGGAACACACACACGCTTACACACTCCCTCCCTCCCTCCCGCTCTCTCCCTCCCTCCCGTTCTCTCCCTCTGTCTGTCTCTAACTCTCTCTCTGTCTCTCACTGTGTCTCTCTCCCTCGCTTTATATAGTGGGTTCCCAAAGTCTCAGAACATACTGAAAATCTGGGATTTCTTTTTTTTTATTTAATTTGGAAGAAAACAGCAGAAAGTTTTAGAATTTTTAAATTTCAAACGAAAAGTTCTGACAAGTAAAGTGAAGAAGAAATATGCAAGATTCTGCACTGCTTCTAGTATATATATAACAGAAGTACTGCCGACTTCTCTCTTTAAACATTGACTCTTCCTGAAGAACCGGACGATTAGGTCTTTTTGTACTGCTCTTCTGTCTCCGCTGTGGCCAGTGGAACCGTTGTATTTGCCAGGGAGAAAGTGATGACAGCATCCAGAGATGACAGGATGCCCTGCCCTGCAAACTGTTGTCCTTCTTCCCATAATTCGGCAGTAAACAGGAAGCAGACAGTGTCTGAGATAAACAGGAACAAATAGCTGGAGCTTTTTAGGCAAACAACTGCCTGAAGCATTTCACTGACCTGCTCTCTGTATTCTTCTCTGCCACCCACCGTGACACCAGACCAAACTATCACATGGGAATTGACATGGGAAAAATATATTACACTCCAATGCTCAGTATTTTGTAACCAGTCAAAAAAGAAAGAACAAAAATACTTTGTACTTTACATCAGGTTAGGGTACACATACATGTACTGTATTTATATTAAATGGAATATATTAAGAGTACTTTACCATATATGTAATTTTTTTATGATCATTATATGCAAGTGTTGTTAGCACAACAAAAAAGCAGAAAACATGGATGTAACAAAACTAAACAGATGCCTCAACAGCTAAACATAATATCCATTTTTTCAATAATTAGTGTCACATCCATTTTTGCATTTCTTGTGCAAATATTCTTCTTTTTTGTCTATTACCTTTTTTCAGTGAGGCTTCTTGACAGCTCCACATCCTTTTAGACCCAAAGAATTGAGTTGTCTTTTCACAGTGGGAGGATGGACAGATGGACAGTGGATTTTTTTCAAATCTGAAGAGAAAGTGGAGCTGTTTATCTGATGGGGACAGTTTTTGTGGTCCACCAGGTCTCACATGTTTGTAAGGAGTTCCATGTTCTCTTTTAATAATTTTTTGAACTCCAGATTTGGAAACTTTTTTTTTTCATTTCAATTATTTTTCCTTTGACTTTCCCTCTTTATTGTGAAAATTGATTATTTTATATCTAATCTCAGAATATATATCAAAGTTAATAACTTGTATTTAATCTCTATTTTGACTGTACATTTGATGATCTTTGACTTTACACAGTACTGGATAAACAAACATATTTCAGTGTATTTTCAAGTACAGTTTAGTGATCATAACATAACATGTTTTATAATGAGTTAAAGACTTTCTTGCCAAATTAAAAGCTACTGTGTTATTAAAAGCAACAAAACTATCAAAACTGGTCAGTTTTCTTAATACACTGGAAAAAAGTGATGTATTGAATTTACTTCTTTTAGTTGAGTGTATAATTTCCAAAATATATTACAACACAGAAATTCAGTATATTTTATTTATCTGAAAATATTCTAGACACTTGAATTAACTAAATTTATCATTGTATTCAATGTGCAAGGGAAATTATTCTTTAACATTCCAGTCTATGTGATTAGTGGCTTTGTATGAAGCATGAGTGACCACACGACCCTTTACAGTATTAGCACGCAATGTCATGACTTGGAATGGCAGATTTGAAGCATGTCATTTATTCACACTAAGTGGTTTCAGCTGGTTCTAGTCATGGCAGACAGCTTTGAGTCTCCTTCCACTTCATTTGAGCTGGTTCTTGTCTCTCTGCGGTTAGCAGGGTGTATATTTGTATATGTGTGTCTACGTGGGAGAGCCTGCGCATGTTTACGTGCCGAGTCTCATGCCATGCGCTGTATGGACATGTGTGCTCGCGGGTGTGTTTGTGAGTGTGTGTCTTAACGCTATCGTGGTATAAACGATGTTGTTGCTCAGAGACAACTCGTCTGTTGATTTGTAATGGAGTGTAGACAGACTTGGCTCCAAACATCACTTAACGTGGACTGGACCTTTAACCCCAGAGTGGTATATCTCCATATGCATCCAAACATATATTATAAACATATGGCTGCCTTATGTCTGGACCTATTAACGAATAACAAACAACAGCATTAGCATGTACTTACTCCAAGGAGCTTCTAAAAAGGAAACGATCTTGTTTTTAACATTAAAAGTCTTAACTTATTACGTTGAGAAATTCCTGAAAGCATTAAAAGTCTGGCTTTGTTCAACTGGGGTATGATATCAGCTTGGAATGTCAGCAAAGTAGTTATCCAGTGGAAGTCCTGAAATAGCTAACAAAAACAGCCAGCTGATAACATTAGTAGCTTTTGCATTTCAGTTGTAATCCATAATAAGGACACCTTTGATTATTATATTAATATTCTTTAAGAATGCTGCAGACATTCATTACTCACTAATGTCCCCATGACTGGTTTTAATGGCATGTGGATTTTTCAAAGCACATACAGTACTGTACAAAAGTCAGAGGCCAACCTTCATTTGTTTCCAGTCCAAACAACCATTAAGTACAAACTGTTCATTTTTCAGATGTTTTTGAGGAGATTAGACATAGATTAATTCACTTGCTTACGAAAAAGAAAAGTCAATGGAAAATATGTGAAAAAACACGACTTGCCAGAACTGAAGTTTTGTTACAGAGAATTGAGATTCTTATCAACCATGCAAGACCTGATTGATCACCAAAACTATCAGTATAACAGCACTTTCATCTCTGAGAGAGATGAGAAAATCAGACTCATCAGTTTTTGTCCATCCTTCCGCTATCAGAAGACAACTCAACGCTGTGGAACTGAAAGGATGTCTAGCTGTAAGAGGCCATTAATGAGAAAAGGGAGCAGACAAAAACGCTGAAGATTTGCCTATCAAACAAAGGAACTGCTGCTGTTCTCAGAACAATGGACTGACCGGCCCAGACCTCAGCATTACTGAATGTGTTTGGGATTATTTGAAAATGCAACCAACTTCTAAGACTGAACTTCAGAAAAATATCCCTGCAGATTTCTTTGAAGAACTGAAAGCAAATCTCCTGAAAAGAATGGAAGATGTAATAAAGGCAAGGAATGGACACATTAAGCACTGAAATATATTTAATTGTCTGAAATATTAAGTATCTGAACGTTTTAGTTTGTGTGTATTTACTATTAAATATTCATTAAACTAAGTGCTGCATACCTTTGCAGTGAATTCTCCCAATAGATTCCACTCTACTTTGTCTCTCAAACAGATCTCACACATGGACAAGACATTGAACTGCATTGCTGAATCCCTGAACATTCTGCTGATGAGGGAGGGTGAAGGAAACGAGGCAGCAAGAGCTGGACAAAGATTACCAGGATCCAACAGCCTGCCCAGCTATGACCAGCTCTCCACCCCAAACTTTCCTTCCGCACTTGAGGAGAGCTCCTGATCTGAAGTGTGCTTAGATCTACTGCATCACAACGTGCCTCATCTTTGGTTAGGTTTGTCTTGAAAAACAGGGGGAGAGAATGGATTGGGATAGACAAGTTCTTATTTAAAATCAGTTCTTAAGTATGCTTGAAGTTGATTAGATTGCTTTAAAAAAAATTAGTGACCCCATTCAGTGGGACCAATCATAAAGTTTAGGAAGTCACTCTGTTAGTTACACTGTTATCTCCCAAAAGCACATAGTATGACACTTTATGTAGCGCAGGTGATAAAAGTGCCACTTACTGTATGAGATGAAAATGATAGAAGGTGAAGTTTTAAGCTCTTTGAGCTGATACTATTTCCTGATATGTCTAACTATTGATTAATATCATATTAATTAAAGGCAACACTCTTTCTTTAAAGAACCATTTGTATTAATGAGGTGCTAATGTGAAGAACTTTTTAAAGTTGAAAGAACCTCCACATCATGGTTCGAAGCCAATGAAAGGTTTTTAATATGAGCATATATCCAAGCCAAGAACCATTTAGGAACCTTTATTTAGAGTGAAAGTATTGGGGTTATTCTTTTAATTCATCACTTAAGTGCTATTCACAACCATGCAGTATCATAAAATGGTCAAATGAGTAATATAGGGGCAGTATGGACATTTTAAATCAGGTTTATTTATTAAAGCATGTATACATTGATTCACAAATGCATACATGTGTAGATTTTCATTTTTTCTTGCTGTACTGGTGGTTTTTTTTCCAGATTATGAGCCAAATGTCATTGCTTGTTTATTCTTGAAGCAAAACTACTGAATCAGTGCGTCAGACCTTCTTAGGCCTTTGATTTTTATACTTTCTTTTTGTTCTTTTTCATCTTGCCGTCATGAATGAGACCTTCTGTTCTCATTAATAAATATTAACCATCACCAAAATCCTTATTTGTATTAGTTTTCAATGGGCTTCCATTATTATGTCAGACCACATCACCATTCAAATCCTAGACAGATGTCCACGGTTTCCCGCTCTTTTTCCTGACCACAGGCTTTAGTGGTTTGGTGGCAGAGGTGGTAGTGTGGAGGCATTTATGGCATTCAGGAACAGTTGTAGTCTTTTTTCCAAAAGTCTGTCAGTGATGCTTGAATTCCTTTAGTGCATCCTGACAGATCAATGACTTATGCAGCACACGACCATATGGGCAGCACCATGACCTATGACCTTAATACAATACCTTTGGTCTTTTGGGTTAGGGGCCTTGTTGCCATGGGGATGACTCGATTATGCACTCGCTGACCCTCTCTTGTGAAGGAACATGCCTGTTTCTCTGCTTCTTTCATTCATTGCTTATCATGAGGACTAGTGTTGCTTGGAAAATACGCACCAAAAATGCAGTCGCCAACAGTTTTCATTCTCAGGAACTGACCAGTGCGATGGAAGGTGATACAGCTGTACTTAATTCATTCCTGATATGAGTCAATAAATAATGCAGTGGATTATTTGAAAGACATTTTAAAATATTATTTACTTATTAAAATATTTTAAGAATTTTAAAATATTACATTAGGTAGGAATCTTTTTGTCACCCATATAAATGTGTCATTTTCAAGTAAACTACACTCCTGTGCAAAAGTTTGGGCACCCCAAAGTGAAAGTAAATACACATCCTCTACAGAGAACACATTTCTGCACTTTTTACAGCCCAATTATAGTTTATTTGCTGAATGTAACATATTGAGGGGAGAAAATAAAACATTAAATGTGGCTTGTGTGAAATTTACAGCACATTTTATATTTTTCATTGTCTAATATGTTAAACTAATCCATAAAATGCAAATAATAGAAACAGTGCACTAACATTTGCAGAAAATGCTACATTTAAGTTCGTTTTCTGGGGGTGTGTTAACTTATTTGTATATTTATAAATTATAATTTCTAAGGAAAATACATACTGGGTCTTTAACATGTTAACCATAAAGACAAGTCCTCATTTGGAACTTTTAGATTTTGTAAATACTAAAATCTGTTTACAATTTCAAGTAAAAAAAAAGTTTTATGTGTAAAACTTTTTTGTTAAATTTTAACAACACATTTTTTTATATTTTTTCTTTTCTTTTTCAACAAAAAAAGTGTTCTGTGTAGTACTAAAAAGGATAATTGATACTTGTATCAGTAGTGAGAGGAACACTTTTTGGTGCTGTATAGAACCATTTCTTAAAAGGTTCTTCAAAGAAGAATGTGCAAAAAATTCTTAGAGGACAACCACACCCTTAAAAGGTTCTTCAGGGGTTCTTTAGCTATGGTTATATAGAGAACTGTGACAACTCAAATGCTTAATTCTTAAATGTTTCTTTGTATGATTAAATGGTTCTTCTGATGGAACTGCTATTGTTCATGGTTCTTTTAAAGAAATGTCGCACCAAGAAAGGTTCCCCTACTGTTATGAGTCAACCTTGAATAACCCCTTTTTAATAAAGTAGTCCTTAAGGATGGCATAACGTGAAGTGCTGTTCTAATGTATATTATGTCAAAATGAAACTAAGAATTGCATTGTCATTATGAAACTTGTGCATGTGAGTTCCTGATTGTGGCTTAAGTCAGCTGTTTCTTGTGGAGAATCAATGTTAGTGAAAACTGCCTTGCTGGTACATTGGCTTCACAGTTGTGCAAAACAAAGCATTTCTGTGTGATGTTGCTTCTTCCCTCATCTACTGAAGATATATACATACAATCAAACAGGCAGGAATGCATACGACAAGCATGTCTCAGAGCTATTACTGTCACAATGGCTCAAAGGAGTCTGAAAATCATATAGGCCTGATAGAGCTGGTTACTAACATAGAAGGATTTAAACCCCTAAAAATGGAGCAGAGGAGATGAGTGACAAGAGAGAAGCGTTGTCACGGTGTTAGCTGTCCTTTGGAGTTTGCTACCCCATGTCAAGACAACTATGTCAACAGTGGAGGCTACAGGACAACAGTCTTGGCAGGCACCATAGAGAGCGGGCTTGCTACAGTGGGGGTCTGGGCCATATGCCGCCACATAAATGATGGGCCTTTGTTATGCGTTTAAAAGGACGCACTGCTGCCACTTTCTCTGAGACTGCTGAGCAAACTTTGGGACCAAATGCCATTAATCCAAGCTAGTGAACCCATAGAGGTGTATCCAGCCTTGAAGACACAGCTTGCCAGTGCCTCGGCTAGTTTTATGGGCCAAATGATTCGGAGAGAAAAAGAAGCGCTCCAAAACGAACGGAGGCTAAAACACTGGGAAGATGGATGGTTTGATGGTTTGGCGGCAACTTGACAGAATGGTCTTAATAGGGTTAACAGTGCTGAGAAAGTGATTTGCTTTGTGGCAGAGGGGATAAATCCCCGAATCCTGAATGGAAATCCAGTCTAAGATTGTTTGATTGGGTGATTTGAAACTAAACCCCGTGTGTTATGTTGGTGTAAAATCTTAAATTGTAAACCCCAGAGTGCTTTTTTTGTGCCATTTTTAATGGCAGAATTTTTTAAATTTGTTTTAACATTGCACCAATGCACTTTAAATTCTGATTTTATACTGCCTCAAGCTGATTTCTGTGCACAGTTTCTTTAAAACCTCAGTAAAGCAGTAAAACCAGAAGCTAATTGCCAACAAACTGGGAAAAAATGTAGAATTGAGAGCTGACTTCATTGAGGTTCATACAGATTGCTATGGCTCTTTGGGATTTCTGCTAGTCAAATTGGCGGTCCCAAGAGCCTGAGGAAATCATCCATCTGCTCCCACAGATAATAGCAAAGCATACTGACAACCCTAACAATCTGGACATAATGATTTTAGTGTAAAAGATCAAATAATGAAGTCCCACTTCAAACCCTTGGGGGCTTCAACCCAAAAGCAGTTGTTTGGAATTGCCATTAAACCACATGTTTCAGCTACACCAGTCACATGAAATCACACATTACTCTTAGTGTTATTATTATAAATCTGCAATACAAAATCAATGCACCCCAGTCAGTTACTTTTCATTGTATCCACATCTCACTTTGGATTTTCAGCATTTAACAGCTTTGATGATGAAAGGCTGGGAGGGTCTTTTCATATTAAATCGCTAAGGCACAGACTGATCCTTCAGCTGTATTTGGGAATTTAATGCCATCAGCTGATACTGAGAGGAGCCTCTGATCAATAGTAGTTCCAATCCCTCACATCCAAGCCCCCAGACTGCGTTTTGAAGGCCTGCGGGGGCAGATCTTTGGTTTCTCCCGCACGCGACTAGAAGCAAACGGGGGATTTTGGACAGCAGTATCTGAAGAAGCATCAATAGGAGCAGTGGGAGCATTAATAGGAGCAATAGGAACACTGGGAGCAGGAGGAGCACTATGAGCAGTAGGAGTGTGCATTAAGGGCCACGAGCTCATTTGCAGGTGAATGATGGCACTCGCTTCGCCTTTGGCTCCCTTTGTTCCGCTTCGCCTTGTTTTTGGTGCCAGATGGTCAAAGAAATGCAAAAAAAGCCTTTTAGCGGACGAGACCCCACCCACAGACTTTAATATTAAAGATTAACGATTAAAGATTGAAGATACAAACCTGAATCGGTCGGTTTGACTTCTAATTTCGTTTATATGTGATGTTTAGTGCCTTAATGTTCAGTTTACTCAAAGAAACAGAAAACATATCCGGACTTTTGCTAGAATTATAGCCGGTTAGAAACAAAAGAAGAACGACGAGAAAGAAAGAACGAAAGAGGGAGAGAAAGAAAGAAATGATTCACGGCTCAAGATGAGAAATCTTTCTAGTAAAAAGTCAAAATCGTGCATTTTTATTTCCAAACTGAAGCGAAAGTTTTAAAATAATGAAAAATGCTCAGCACACTTCGCCCTTTCTGAACACGTCCCAGTCCGCATTGCAACAGCTCCGAGTCTTTATGATTAAAATAAACTTTATACGGGATACACGTTCGAAAGAAATCATTTGTAGAAGCGTTGTTAATTTTGTATTTACATATTTACATTAATCTTATTAAAACATGTCAAGTTTTAACCGTTATTTATTTATTCATTCATTCTAAAATTGTGTTGTTACTAACACTTTGCACGGACTAATAAAAGTAAAAAAGAGTTCCGGTGTTCAAATGATCACTAACCGATGAGAAAAAAATAAATAAACAAATAAAAACAACAAAATAAAATATATACATAATAAAAGTCCGTCCAATCTCTGCTTTTGATCTTCGTTCGAGTTCGCAGGTGATTCGTTTCACACACACACACACACGTATATATATATATATATATATATATATATATATATATATATATATATATATGTGTGTGTGTGTGTGTGTGTGTGTGTGTGTGTATTTTCGTGTGTTGTGTCTGTGTGTGTGTGCTTTTGTGTTAGGGCTCTAAAGATATTTTACATTTTTGTTGTGGGTTTTTTGGGGTGTTTGTTTTTTTTATTTTTATTTTATTTTGATGTTCTATTATGTAGAGTTGTAAAGATTATAGTTATTTATTGCTGTATATTAGTAAATTAGTGTATACCTCTCCGTTTTTAAGGTGATGTGTGTACGTATGGAATGATTATGTGAGTGCATGCGGTTGGGTGAGAAAAGGCGTATTTATGTGTGTGAGTGTGTGTGTGTTGGGGGTGGAGGGGGTCGGTGTTGGGTGGGGATAGGGGTATTTATGTGTGCAGGATCTGTGTTGGTGGGGGGAGGTGGAGGTGGGGGTGGGGAGGCAGGTGGCTGCCGTGTAGCAGGAGTCTGCGTGTTTTTTTGTCCCGCTGCCTTTGGTAAGTGTTTCATTAGCGGGCTCTCTGAGAGGGGGATGAGAATGAAGGTCTTATGGGGACAAAGCGGGGCTCTGAGGGCACCTGCCTCCTTCATTATGGAGAGAAAAGGCCCTTTAAATCCTGACCACAGCGCAGCTGCCCTCCTCCCTATCAGCGCCGCGCGCACAACAGCTGAGTGCGTCGTGCGCACGAGCAGAACTCCTCTTTACTAACACACATCCGAAAAAAAGGTTCAGGGCAAACATGTCTTACACCCGACCCCCAAATACTGTAACCCCCCGCCCCCCCCGCCCTTCAGACACACTTCAAAACAGAGACAATACCAGCATGTAAACAAAAATAGAATTTATTTTTTTGTTTTGTTTTTGCATTTCAATACAAAGCTCGAATATATATATTTATATATTAAACAATCGGCTCAGAAGCATTCTTTGCATGACATCCTCCAAAAACTTAAATAAAACACAACATAAAATTAAAAATATTGCAGTAAATAAACAATAACTGTAAATAAAAAAGTGACCAAACTATCTTGGATCATAAATAACCAGAACATAAATTAACATATTCTTCAAAAGGAGAACGAAACAGACTGCTATGGCTAGGCTACATAACACTCAAAATCACAAAAAATAAAACAAAGTGTGAAAATTGCACCGTTTAAAAGGTTGTAACACTGCAACAGAGTCCGTTTTTGCAGAGCCAGTATTGCTACATACACCAGAGAGAGAGAGAGAGGGAGAGAGAGAGAGGATATAAAAATAATTACAGATCAAATCACAATAAACAGAAAGCGGGCTGTGTCGTCCTCACTGTGTCCTTCATCCGCTCAGCAGATAAACACAGGAGCTGCGCTTCCACAAACATCTGCAAATAAAGCAAAGGACGGCAATTAGTTTTTGGAAAAACAGTTTCATATCGGATAAACAAAAAACAGCAGGACAAAGAACAAAGACAGGCTAAGATTAAAGACAGCGACAAACTTCATTTTACTGTAATTCACATCTAGAGAGGTTTCAGCTGGAAGTTAATGAGCAGCGAAAAAGATCCTCACCATCTGATTCTCTTGCGCGGAGTGACTTCAACAGGCGTTGAGGGGCTCTCAGACTTCCTCTCTGCAGGTCTTTTCCTTCTGGGGAAAAAGTCTGGAGACGCGAGAGAGATGGTTAGAGCACCGTAACAATAACAACAACAACAACACTACTGCTGATAATAATAATAATAATAATAATAATAATAAAACCACTCATAATACCAACAAGTACAACAGACTACTATTAATAATAATAATGATGATAATAATAATAATAATACATAATAATAATACATAATAAAATGCCATGGGTTGAACTCATTGTAGTATTTAATTTGCTCTCTCTTGTACGTTAATTCTGTTGTGTAATTATACTGATTAATAGCATTACGGATATTACTAATAACAGCGCTAATGCTAATAATGCTTTTGCCGCTAATAACAGTCTTTTACCTGTGATGTGAGTGCTGTTGTTTCGTGGAGACTCCGGGACAGACCCAGTCCTCCTCCGTCTGCGCGCGCACGCTGATGTGCCGTTCAGCGCTCCAGACAGATTCTCCTGGTTCACCTCGCCGGCCGGACGCTCGTGCGCCTGCTCCGCGCTTTTCCCCTCGCACTCCACTTTATTATCGTGAAGAGGCAAAGCAGTCCGCGCTCTCGCGCCGCACCGCACCGAGTCCCTGTAGAAGGCCGGCAGGCAGAGCGCGCTCACTTCCTCCCACTCGTAATTCCCAGGCAACGGCGAGTCCTGCTCGAAGTTGAAGTTCCAGCGGCTGCGCTCTCCCTCCGAGATCTCCTGGAGCTTCTGCTTCATCTCCCGGTTCAGCTCCTCGTGATCAACCGGGCCGAAGAGGTTCCGGCAGGCCTTGGTCCGGGCCAGAAGAGGAAACGTCCTCCGCGCTGCGTGTCGCTCCAAGACGCTCTGTACCTCCACGTTGGCCATGGCGCGTTAAGATTAGTGCAGTTCGACTGGCGTTGGTGTTCGAGCTACAGCGACTCTCAGGGACTTTTATATCCGTGCAGCGCTGCTTCCAGGCAGCTGTTGGCTTGCGTTAGTAAAGAAGCGGCCTCTGATTGGTCCGCTCATGTAAAAGCCCCACCCCCACCCCCACGACAACACCGGCGTTGGCCTAAAGAGGTTAATGAGCTGCTGAATGGAAGTGAGGATCATTTAGAAATATCTCAAATAAGCATACACTCTTAAAAAAGATATTTCTTCAAAGGTTCCTTAGTAAAAGCAATTGTTCTATTTATATCCATGAGTTCTATATGGAACTTTGCATGGTGAAATGGTTCTTCCAAGTTCAACCATTGGCCTTGATCAACTTTGTGTAAGCAACTCTCCCTTTCATTCATGATGCATCTCACCCAGCGTGGTCATTTTTGGAACTCCCCCAAAACTGCAAACTAATATCTTCATTATTTATACCTTTTATAATAACTCCACTGAAATAAAGTATGTATTTTTGGTACTATCTTGTACTGCAAGGCTTGTTAGGAGATCCATGTAACCATGTAAATGACATTGTCACTTTTTATCAGTTGAAGTTAATTTTCTTAAGGTGGAGCTCATCGTTTTTGCACTGGGGCTCAGAAGACTCAACATACTGTACAGATATATTTTTGTTCATCAAGATACAAACAATATAAAAGTACCCTCAAAGGTACATCAATGGTCTTAAGGTCCAGGTGTACACCTTAATTGAGTTTTAAAAGTACACTTATGTTCACTTTCCCAGGAGAAATGTGCATGTTTGTAGATTTTCATAACCTAAGGTTTTAATATAGAATAATACAATCAAAAGTAGTCAGGATAGAGTGCATGTAGTCAATATAAACGGGAGCTTAATGGCACGGGTTTCCATGGCCGAGCAGCTGCAAGCCGAGCAAGCCTTACATCAACAAGCACAATGCCAAGCGTCGGATGGAGTGGTGTGAAGCACGCCGCCACTGGACTCTGGAGCAGTGGAAACTTGGCCCTCACAGAGCCCTGACCGCAACCCCATCGAACACCTTTGGGATGAACTAGAGTGGAGATTGCGAGCCAGACCTTCTCGTCCAACATCACAAATGCTCTTCTGGGTGAATGGGCAGAAATTCCCACAGACACTCTCCAAAATCTTGTAGAAAGCTTCCCAGAAGAGTGGAAGCTGTTATAACTGCAAAGGAGGACCAACTCCATATTAATACCTATGGATTTAGAATGGGATGTCATAAAAGCTCCTGTGGGTGTAATGCGTAGGTGTCCCAATACTTTTGTCCATATAGCATATGCAAGCGTGCACCTCCCCAGCGAGAGTTCAGTATTTTTTTCTGAGATTGCACTAACGCCACTATAGTGCACTACAGTATCACTATACAGGTCAGTTCTGACTGTACTGAGTAGGTTTTCACAGGCTGGTACGGTCTAGTAAAAATACTCTCAGCACTCGGTTTGGGACACAGCCACTACAAAGGCGACGCACTCAGCAGGCGCTTGGCATGCGGCCAACAGAGGACACCCATGGAGTATTATCACTCTTATTGTAGTGAATGGAGCGCACGCGCGCAACTAAGGACTGTCGGGCGACAATTGCCTCTGTTTAACTGATAAATGCCTCACAGCTTAGATTTGACGAATCAGCTGCCAGTTTCTTTATTATACCGCGTTACTTAACAAAAACACCTCTGTTTCATATCAGCACATTATACACTGTTTATAACAGCACAAAAACTGTAGTTATATAACAGCGAGGTTACAGTTTCGGGGTGATTTGTGGTGAATTTAGTTCATTTCGTTTAGTTCACACTTTAAAAAGATGGTTTGAAAAAGATGGTTCTTCAAGTGTTCTTTAAACGGAATGGTAAATCGTTCTTCAGATTATTGGAGAATGTGCTGTAGACGGTTCTACATCTGGTCTATACAGCACCAAAAAAGGGTTCTTCTACTGTTACATGTCAAGCTTGTAACAAGAACCTTTTTTTGTTGCTATATTGACCGGATGTAGAACCCTCTACAGCACATTCTCTATCAATCTGAAGAACCTTTTCACCGTAATTATGCACAGGGTTCTGTGAGTGTTCGTGGTTCCATATGGAACAATTTTCTTCACCAAAGGACCATCTTTTTAAATGTGTAAAACTTTTTGAAGAACACTTTTTAGTGCTGTGTGGAGCCCTTTTCAAAAAGGTTCTTTAGAGAACCTATACAACACATTGTCCATTAATCTGAAGAACCACTTCACCAGGCAAAGAACCCCTTCATCATGCAAAGGTAGTGTTCTGTGAGTGTTCATGGTTTCATATAGAACCATTTTCTATACTAAAGAACTCTTTAAGAACCGTCTTTTTTAAGTGTGTAACAATATGAAGAAGGCTTTTTTGTTGCTATATAGAACAGTTTTCAAAAAGGTTCTATATAGAACCTATACAACACATTCAATCTGAAGAACCATTTCACCATGCAAGGAAATATTTTGGCATTAAATGGTTCTATATAGACGCCATGGTTCTAAATAGAACCATTCCCATCACTAAAGAACACTTACAGAACCATCTTTTTTAAGAGTGCAGGTCCAGATGAAGTTTAATCGATATAAATATCGTGTTAACAGCAAATGTTGAAGCTTTAGGTTTATTAAAATGTCTCTTTCTGCTTTCACTCTTTCTTCAGATGAAACTGTTGCTGTAAAATGGTATAAACTGACCCAGCCGTGTTTACCACTAATGGTCAGTCTAATCTTTATTCTGATTTGAGCTTAAGCCACTCAAATTTTAAAATTTACCATTTTTTTTTGGTCCATAATTTCTTGTCTGGGCAAAAATCTGCAGATTTTATTAAATCGATCAGACATGGCTGAGCAGTGAGCTGTTATCGCTCAGTGTTTCATAGTAAATTTAGTTTACTGGTCTTTTGGACTTTCAACGAAAACCCAAATTCGGCGGCAAATAAACGAATGGACATTACATAATATTAAACTATTTTAACTCTTTAATACGCTTCCAGGACATAATCATACAAAATCCCATCACTTTAGATCAGAACTGTTTCAGAAGTTTTGTGGTATTTCTTCTCTCCATCACACTAAATTTAACTGCTGGACATGAATATAGACACAAATCGGCCGTTTTGTGCTCAGGACGTGAGACCAACTCATTTAGAGTTAAATCTAAATCTAAATCTAAATCTGTGATTAAAGGACCCTTAAAAGTGTGAATGAAGAGCAGTTTATTAGCTGCGCTTTAACGCGCTGAGCTCCAGCAGATTAGCTCCAACATCACAACCGCTCGTGTATTTATTTCTTCGTTCGTTCATGTATTTCGTGTTTGTAAAAGAGCAATTTGGGACAGTTACATTTCAGTAAACAAGGAGCGGCTCGGCTACAAACAAGCAAACAAACAAATAAATAAACGATTAAATCCAGGCTTGTTCGGTGTAGATGATTCTGGAGATGGAGTGTGATGAACTGCTGCACTGATCAGAAGAGAAAAGAGAAACGACACTGATCAAAAAGAAACAGATTAAAACAGTAGATAAACTGATCTACTTTACGCATGAGCATTACTGTAACAGCAGCGATCAGAAGAATATTAACAGCTGGTGATTTCACTGCAGGCCTGCAGGAAACCCGTGCAGAACAATCAAACCCATGTTGAGCTCTGATATCCGGGGTAATAGTCAATAATTATTTGCTTCCATTAAATGTAAATAAATAAAATAGGCAATACAAACCAGAAGAGGAAAATCGACTCTTTGAGAAATCGTACAAACTCTTTCTCAGTTCCTCTCTTATAGATCTCAGACATAAGCCTGTCCAACTAAACACACCGAGTCTTCATGTTTTACTGTATTCAGACTGATGGATACAAAACACCGTAATTTGGTTTAACTTCCCTTAAGTTCAGCTCAGATTCGCTCCGGTTCCTGAACTAAACTACACAAAGAACTGAAGTAGCTCCTCCTTCACACGGTGGGTGTTTATTTTTCTATCCCGCACCGCCCTCTTCTGGCTGCTTCGTAGAACTGTGACGTTCTCTTATGTATGTATGTATGTATGTATGTATGTATGTATTTATTTATTTGTACGTACATTCATACATGCATACCTTAGCCCCCCTAAAATCCAATTCAAGCCAATTAATAAGAGTTTACTTTTCTTTTAAATTGATTGATTGATTGATTGAATGATTGATTGATTGATGTGTTTGACTGGGCATCTTATGTATTTTCACAACAGTAATTCAGCAAAACCAGGCACGTTTCATTCATTCATTCATTCATTCATCATTCATTCATTCATTCATTACTGCACTGTTAGAAATAAAGGTTCTGTGCAAGTACATTCATCAAGGTACAAACAATGCAAATGTACCTCAAAGGTACAACAGTGAACCTTACATAAGTTTTTCCAGGTGAAAAAAACGTCCCTCTTTTCTAGGCAAGTAAATAAGTTAACATTAATTTAATTTATTTATTTTTTAATTTTGTGTCAAATTATTGCCCTGCGTGACTGGGTCTGGACCTGGACTGTTGTCTTTTCACAATAGTGAAAGCAAGGATTTATTTATTTATTTATTTTTCGATTGAGTAATCAATAACCATGTCTTAAAGTGTTTAAAGCTTGAGCTGAAGAGTGTAAGACGTGCTTGATAAGCGGAAGTTAATAGACAGGAAAGATAAAATAAATAAATAAATTAGGCAGCACAATCTGCACAATAGAGACTCTTTCAAAAACAATTCCAAACATTGCACACAAAAGGCTCCTGCAGGTGGCTTATGGAGGCTTTTATGGGTGGTTGTTGACCGAGAACAGGTGAGCTACAGTAAATCAGTCCATTAAAAAGAACAGAAACAGAGCAGCTAGAAATTTACAGGACCCTCGACTACCTACAGAGATTTATTTACTCCAGCCAGCAGATTATTATAATGTAACATACACTTTATCCAAGCATTCATTTTCACATTATTAATAAATAGGGCTTTTGTCCCGTATTAATAACAATAATTCATAAATAACAGCTATTAATTCTGAATAATTATTAGTGTAAGTATTAATAATTGTTAGTAATTTGTTGTAGTCATTAACAAATAATACACATTTTAATAGAAACTAATAGAACAATAGTATTAAGAGCAGTGTCTATTATTAAGAACAAAATGGAATGCTTACATGCTTCATGTTATGTAATGTTTAGTTAAACTATATATATATATATATATATATATATATATATATATATATATATATATACACACATGTGTATGTATATATGTGTGTGTGTATACATACCCTCAATCAAATTCAATGTCTTATATATAAAGAAATTTAATTACTACATTTCTCTACATATTTTGTAGACAATTTTCTATTTTTTTCCCCAATCTGTTAAATTTAGTAAATAATCAGTAATAGTGCATTAAGTGTGCAGGAGTGCGAGGATGTGTTCCCTGTCCACTTATTTTCACTTAGAAACTCAACAAAATGTTCAAAATGACACCCAAAGTTTCGAATAGTACTTTTGGTTTTGGACCCATTTTTCTGTGGGTCCATTCATCATGAAATTTATACACAATGTAGAGGACAACAGGCATTTTTAAATTATGTCAAAAACTGGAAAATTACAAAAATGGAGATACGAGGTTTTGTTACGACAGCAAATATATACAGTCAATCAAACCCACATTGAGAAGTGATTTCTAAATAAAAGGGCGCTGCAGGCAGGTAAGTGGATTTGGTCCTGCAACAGCTGCTCTGGGGTTGGTCAGCGGCTGGTGAGCACACCTGAGCTTCATTTCCTGGTTTGAGTGAATACCTGTCCAGTGCAGAGTTCAGGTCAGTGCTGGAGCACAGCGGGAGCAGGACCAGCAGCACGGAGGAACAGCGACATGCTAGGGCTTCAGGATACTCCTCTGGTGAGATTACTGATTCTCCATAGGAACACATATCATGACTTTATTTAGCACTTTTAACCAGACCAGTATGGTAGAACTGTTAGGGTTGTTGTCTGCAGCCTGTAAACTGTGGATGGTTTCCATAAAACTGACACTTGTTGTTTTCTTGTCATTTTAAAGGTCAGTGTTTAATGTGGTACGCTCATTTGGCAATTATAGTATATGAGGCAGTTTTGTTTTTAGTTTTAATGTAGATTCAATTCAGTAGTGGTATAGTGCTGTAATGTTACTCGAAGTATAATTATGAGTAATATGTTTAATATTAACAGGAAAAAAATGCCTTAGATAGTGCACAGCCAGACATTCTATAGTTTCTGTCTGGGTAGTCTAACGTAATTCCTGTCTGTCATTCTTAATGCAAATGATTATCTTTGCATGGTATATGGTGTATGAAGTCACACTCACACACAAACACACATCCTGCCGCATTCCCTAGTCAAATCATGACCTCCACTTACACCTGTACCTAGACACACCTGCATCCACTTTACATGAGGTAGTAGTAAGGGAAGGGCTAATAGCCACAATTTACAGCAGATATTAACCGACTATGCCACTAAGTGTAAAAATGTATTGTTTGATTGATATTTGTACAGCAGACACTGTTGTCTATTATGGTTTATTTCTGTATTCTGAAACCCTCACTGAGAAAAGAGACTTTGCTAATCAAACAAAGAAGATGCTGGTGTTCTCAGAACAATGAATTGACCACCCCAGAGTCCAGACCTCAACATTATTGAAAGTGTTTGGGATTATGTGGATCATGAAAAGTACAAAATTCAACCAACTTCTAAGACTAAACTTTCAAAGTGTGGAAAATATAGCTGCAGATTTCTTTGAAAAACTTAAAGTTAGTCTCCTGAAAAGAATGGAGGCTGTAAAAAGGCAAAGAGTGGACACACTAAATACTGAAAACTTTGATGTTTAGTTGTTGAGGCTTCTATGTAATTTTCTGATAAATGCATCTTACTTGATGCAGAAAAATGAACAGCTTATACTTAATGACTGTTTTAAGTGGAAAAGGAGTGGTCACTGAATTTTGAACATTACTGTTTATAGATTGATGCTTTGTGTAGATTAATGAATTAACACCTGCAACACATTCCTCACAATATTTCTTTGGGTTGTTCAAGTGTTTCATTTTACTGTACAATTATTCACAATGACACAAAGATATTGCATCATTTGTATTTGTATTTGCATATTCAAATAATAATAATAATAATTTGTACAGATTGCCCATCTATCAATAACAAGTCTAATACATTCACTGTTTGTATGAGTGTGAAAGGAACAAAACTCCAGAATCTGCTGCTCCAGTTCAGTCATTTCTTCTCCTTTCATTCCGAGTCTTCTCTGCAAACTCACTTTTCTTCTGAAGACAAACACAAACAAGCTCTGAAAAGTCACCTGTGGCTGCAGCTGTGAAAAGGCAGCTTGTTTGCATGTGCAAAGAAAGGAGATGGAAATTCAACTTGTTTTGCATAAAGAGGCCAGAGTTTTCTCCTCTGAATTGAGTGGCACTGCTTATGGCTAACATGAACTGTAATTTTGTGTTTGTGTTTACGTTTGTGTATGTGTATGTGTGTGTGCACAGGTGGCAATACACCAGGGTAAGAGGTGTCCAAAATGTGGAGAAGTAGTATTGGAGTCCCAAGAGCAAGGGTAAGTATGGGTTTATTTACTGATCAGGTACGTTACATAAACAAAAGTTAATTGTCAACAAAAGTTAACAGTCAAAAAAAGGAAGAGAAGGTGCAGCTGACATTTTAGCAGAAAAAAGTAATCAAATGTGATGACCAAAAGTGTCCAAACGCCTATTATAATTAGTTCATCCAGTTACTTTGAGGTGCACCCATTGCTGACACACATGTTCAGTTGCACACACATTGCTTGGATAAACTTCATAGTAAAGCTCTGTCAATAGAATGGGATGCACATGAGTCTAAGGAGCAAGCACTGGCTAGAGGGGTGTAAAGAGCCTCCAGCACTGGGCAGTGGAGCAGTGGAACTCTGTCCTCTGGAGCGATGGAGCTCCATCCAATACCTTTGGGATTAGCTGGAGAGGAGTTTGTGATCCGAAATGAATAACCCCACATCAGTATCTGACATCACTAATGTTCTTGTGGATGAATGCAATCAAATCCTCACTGCAGTGTTCCAACATTTTGTTTAAAGATTTCCCAAAAGAATAAAATTACTTTACTGTTACTGCAGTAAAGGAGGACAAAGTCCCTATTAATACCCTTGATTTCAAAAGACGCACAGGATCAGCGAGTGTCTACAAACTTTGGGACATATAGTAGATCACTACTGTCGGAAAAAAACTCATATCTCCATTTTTTTTGTCATTTTTCAGTTTTTGTCATAATCTGAAAAAGTCTGGTTCCATTGACTTACATTAAAAGTAAAGTAGGTTTTTTGCTTCTCTTGTAAAGTTATTATTTTGGAGCTACAAGGTATTCGTCCGACAACAGCGATATGTCTTGTAGTTTTGTGCATTGTGTGTATGTGTTTTGTGTTTTATATGAAGTGCTCTGTTGGGGTGTCAGTGCTACTCACTGGAGGAAGAATCAATACCTCATGGAGCTGTTGGTCAGAAAGTTAATGAAGGCCATGACAAACTGCACTGGACTACAGGTCGTCTGGGGGACATTGACTTCATGGGATCCAGCAGAACCAGGGGCAAGGTACACTATGGCAGATATGTTCGTTAACACCTGTCATTTTGACCTCTTAAAGGTGAACTGCGGCAATTTTTCACAGATTCAGTGACTGAGATGTAATCAAAGTCATTCAGAATGGTTTGATGTGGAAATGGGTCATTGTGGAGAAACTTACTGTCTCAGATTTCTATACAGTGGAGGTGATGGCAACTGGGGGTCATGACATCTTTAATGCAAATGTAGCCATTTTATTTACTATTCAAAACGACCAGTGAACCTACCTGTCTTGTGAGTTTGAATGTAATGTTGTTAATAGTAAAATAGTCGTTAAACAAACAAAAAAAAAGCTTCTTTTGGTACTATTTTGCCTTTTAATGCCCTGCATGTACCTCCTAAAACAATTAGATTTAAAAATAAACTTTTTAGACCAAAACTTTATCTTAAAACTATTGTTTAAGAATGTTGCAGGCATCAAGCAGAGTATCAGTAATACTTTCATGTGAGAACTTTCTGTGCAATAGCTTTTAGAGGTATTGAATGCTTCGGATGTCTAGTTCCTATTACCACCACAGTGAACAATACTGACCTAGTATTATTAGTATTCCCCGGCTAACTGTGACAGCCTTCAAGAACCGGATTCACAATAGTATCTAATAAATGTGCTTTTTTCAGTCTTAAGTGGAACGTTAAGACTAATTGTTATGCTAATTTGCTTAATTTCTTTCTTACAGTTCTAAGAACTGGTGCTCTAATCTATAGGCCACATGCCTCATTTTTTGGAAAGTTTTTGGATTAATAATCCCAATTTTATAGTACAAACAGAATGGTCTGTGGAACCACAGTACTAAGTGCGTTTATGTTCCTGCAAGTTGCATTAACACACATGAGCCACATAAGTATAATTACAGAATTGCAGTTTTGAAACATACAGAACAAGATGCATATAAGGTAACTGTCATATAAGCTAACTGTTCACATAAAATGTTATTTTGGCATGTGAAGAGTTCAATTCTGCTTACTGAATGTTTGTTATCACAAAAGCTTTCCGTTTGCTTGTGTTCATCACTCACACAATCTGTTCGTCAGTATAGTTTGCCAGGGTTTCCAGTTCAACAGACCCAGACCTGATCTACCAGCTGATGACAGAGCAATGGGGGCTGGCTCCTCCTCACCTGGTGGTGGCGCTAGTGGGTGGCGATGAGCTGGCTCAGATGAAACCCTGGCTCAGAGACACAGTGAGGAAAGGCTTAGTGAAAGCTACCCAGAGCACAGGTGAGCAAACATACTTGCTCAGCCACTGATGTTTAACAGTTACTAAATAATTAACAGTTAAAAACGAAGACCAGGGAATTTCTAATTAGAGAGACATCTCACTCAATAAGGTCTTCCAGGTTGAGCAGACACTAGAGGGCGCTCATGTGAGTGTCTAAAATGAATAGGAGACTTTTATTAACAAATAAATGCCATTCTTTTCTCAGAACAAATAGCATTCAATGCTGCTGAGTTAGTTCACCAACCAATTAGCACTATGCTGGGGCACCAATAGGAATTTTGGGCCCCCTGCAAACTTTATGCATGGGCCCCTCAACTAATTTCTTAGCAGAACCTGTTACAACAATAAAATGTGCTTAATTTTTCATAACCCAACTTTAATTTTGTTATAGCTCCAAAATTCCACATCCTACTGAGCAGCTGTAAATATGAATACAAGCAACATGACTGCATATCAATAACTGGTTGAAATATCTAAATACAAGCCCAATTCCCCCAAAAATTGGGATAGTATGTAAAATGCAAATATAAATGAAAACAGCAGTGATCTATAAATTTAGTTTGACCTGTATTTGAATGAAAACAGTAGAAAGACAAGATCTGTAATGTTTTTATCGACTTTATCACCTTTGCTTTTTGGTAAACTTACATTCAATTAGACATTAACACATGTAACACATTCCAAAAAAGTTAAGACAGGGGTAATTTAAGACTAGGAATATTGAGAAATGTTCAAAAAAGATCTTAAATAGGTGATGCATTCATGCTTGGGTATAAAAGGAGTCATTCACAAAAACCTAGTCTTTTATGAACAAGGAGGGATCAAGGCCATTTTGCCGAAAATGCATCAGCAAAAATCCAGCAGTTTTAAAATAATGCTCCTTAGTGAGTGGTTGTAAGGTTTTAGGTATTTCACGCTCTACAGTGCATAATAACATCAAGATTCAGGGAATGTGGAGAAATCTCTGGCCGTAAAAGGCGAAGTCATATATCAACAGCGTCCAGAAACACCGCCAACTACTCTGGGCTTGACATGGACTGATGGACAGTGGAAACATGTATTGTGGTCTGTAGAGTCAAAGTTTTAGATTTTAAGGAAATTTAAGGAAATAATGGACCTGAATTATTGTTCTTCGGGCTAAGGAAGAAAAAAAGCCAAAATGTCTTTTTCAGGGACATCCATTCTTATTTCAACATTATGTACATTTTATGACATGGCTACGTAATCAGAGAGCGCAGGTGATGTAACACAGTGATAAACATGGTCCTGTCCCAACTTTTTTGGAATGTGTTGCATGCGTAAAATTTGGAATGACTGTATATTTATAAAAAACAATGATTTTCATCAGGTGTTTTTGTACCCTTTCAGTTTAATACAGGTCAAACAGAACTTACTAATCACTGCTTTCTGTGTTTTATTAGCATTTCACACACTGTCCCAGCATTTTTGGAATGGGGTTTGTACTTTTCAAAAGAGCTGCACTTTGGCTGTTGAAGCAAAACACTAATTAACTGTTTTTTGACTATTATAGAACAGATATATTACTCGAATCCCACTGACATATCCACAAACATACCTATTTATCCAGCTAGAGATTATGAAAATCACTTGAGGAATAATGTAAATATTCTATTCTAAATTTTAGCCATAAGATAGAAGGAGAGGCTAGCATCCATAGTGTATAGCAGACAACAGACTACTACTTCACCTTTACTTTCTAGTTAAATGTTTGCATTTCAATGGTGCAGAACACACCCTAACACAAAAACAGAGGGGGTGTTGGACTACTGTAAGTGAAAAACTCAAAAACACTATACAATTATAGCAGAACATGTGGTTTTATTTATATAGCTACGTTCCATCTTTTACAGGGGCAGTTACTACATGCAAGCTTCTTTCTATTTTCTGCTACAGTATATCTTGATAACTCTCGTTTATCTTCAAAACTAGGTGACACTGTCTTCCTCACTTTTGATTGTTCTTTTACTGCCATTTTTGAAAGCCTTGTTTGCATTTTTGTCAGCATCTTCATTTGAATTAAAAAAGAAATCCGTGAACGTTTACACAGGGGGGTCACTGAAGGGTGACAATGCAAGATGCATTGGCATTGCATCTAAAACTAGTATTTAACAATTATTTAAGTATTGAAGCATTTAATGAAGAATCTTTTAGTAAGTTTAAAAATCATGTACAAAAATAGGAACATCTTTGTCCTGATCCATGTAATCTACCCTCCAGTTTTTGGTACCATTGGCACTATGTAGTTGTAATGCTAGCATGCAAAGGTGAGAAGAGTAGCCTAACCACACTGTCTTGTTTGAAATATTGAACAGTAAAAGTACATTTCTAATTCACTTGTGTAAATGTGCAACAGTGCCAGACCAAATAACTACTGAGTACTGTGTTCCAATAGAACTGCAGCAAAATCATCTATCAGTATAGGAACTGGAGTTTCTGTGGTGCTGTTCTTGTCTTCTTGTCTTCTTGGGATTCTTTTGGTCTTAAATAAAATGTTAAAGATCCAAATTTAGAGCTGACAAATCAAAAAGAAGTCCAGATGTTTTCAACAATTTACCATGGTGAAATTTAACACAAAAAGGGAATTAGTAATTAAATGTTAAGGACTAAAATGTAGTGTGCATTCCTGACAAATGTATGTGAGTAGACATAAAAATATTATCGTTTGGAAACACTAAAGAAACTACAAATGTTTCAAAATTTTACTGGAGTAAATGTAACTGAGTAGGTGTAATTAGTTCCTATGTGCAACTCTTCAATCTACTGCCCACCTATTTTCTAAAGAAAGCCAAAAAAGATTCACTTGATTTTTCATGTAAGACTTCCTTCCAGTTTCCCAAAATTAAAGTTCCAGCATGCATGACCTATGAATGCATTTAATAAACCTTTTTAGCCATAAAGCTCCATTCTCTCTTATTCACTGAGGACTCTCTCACACACACTGACTCTCTCAGTTTGCAGTCTTGTTTTTAGTAAAATGGGATGAATAAAAAGTGGGCTGTGCTCTGGCATTCATACCTGTCACCTGTAACCCTCGATGTCCCCAGGAGCATGGATCCTGACCAGCGGCCTGAGGTTTGGCATCACTAAGCATCTTGGCCAGGCTGTGAGGGACCACTCTCTGGCCAGCACCTCCTCGAAGGTCCGTGTGGTGGCCATTGGAATCGCTCCTTGGACCATGATCCATAACAGAGACCTGCTGTTCTCTGCAAAGGTCAAGACCCCCATCATCACAAAATGATTTTACAGGAACAGCAAACATAATTGATGTTTACTGATGGAACAAAACTTTGTCTCCATTTTTGTTACATTTTAATTTATTATTTCTTTTCACATAATTTAAAAATGCCAACTGTCCTTTAAAGCGGCCATTGCAAGTTAATGGTCAATTGCAGGTTAAGAATGCTTTTTCCTCCTCATGTAAAGTCACTTTTTCTGAGATTTGGGGGTTTTGGTTCTGACTGTGATGACATATTTCATATTATTTGCAGAATAATTACTAGTAGTTACTGAATAACAGGTCTTCAGATTAATAACTCAATTATAAAGGGTTCATAGGGTTGATTTATAAATCATCTGAGTTATCAGCCAGCTCATTTTTATCTGTAGACCCTTTGTATAATAAAAGTCTCAATGGTAATGTGGTACTATTTTACAGTAATGGTAAAGCAGTCATTATCACTCCATCATATTATATTAAAAGTGTAGGTTTCATGTTATTCTTTAAATCTACAGCCTGATCAACCAGCAGCGTACTCCACAGAGGACCTCCCCCATGGCTCAGTGTACTCTCTGGACAGCAACCACTCACATTTCATCCTCATAGAAGAGGACCCACAGAGGCATGGAGCCACCAGTGACATGCGGGTCAAACTACTCAAGCACATCTCTCTCCAGCGCACTGGCTATGGAGGTGCCACCAGATTTGAATCCCAATTCACTTTCACACATCCTTATTCACAGTGATGATCTAAAGTTTTAAAGTAGGTTATTATAAAACCTCAATCCTTATTTGTTATTTTCACAGGCCCTGGAAGCTTCGAGATCCCTGTCCTGTGTCTACTTGTTCATGGGGAACCAAAGATATTACAGGTTTCAATTGACAGTATTTTCACATATTAACTCATTTAGCAGAATATCATGAAATACATTTCTGCTGAAATGCTGAAATTTCTGCTTCCTCTTAAAAATATGGGTGACAAGGTTTTTGGAGCAGTGCTATAGAAAAATCAGTTTTGGTTCTCTAAAGAACCTTTAAATGGATAGTTTATCAATATCTTTCTGCAGGCCCCCATAATGGAAATCAACTCTGATATTTTTAATTAATACAATAAATTATAATCCTTTCCACCATTACTTTTTCAGATAACTAGGACTCTGTAGGTTTTTTATGTGTGTAATATTGTGACTTTATGTTGAGCTGCTAGTGAGCAACGAGGGGTAAAAGGCTTCGGGGGAGACCTCATGGTTTAGGGTTTAAACGCAATTACTTTGCTTGCTCACCTATGAAGATGAAAATGAAGTTTGCTTCCGATTTTGTAAATCATAAATATTTCCAAAAGCATGTCACTTTTGTCGGAAGAAAACCTCATATCTCCAAAATGGTAACTTTACAGGAAAAGGAAAAAACCTACTTTGCTTTTAATGTAAGTCAATAAAACCAGAGTTTTTTCCAAGTTATTTTGGGCCGTTTCTTTTGGTCCATTCATCATGAAATTTACACACAATGTAAAGGGTAACAGCATTTTCAAATTATGTCAAAAACCGAAAAATGACAAAAATGGAAATACAAGGTTTTCTTCTGACAGCAGCGATTTATTCCATCAAAACGAATATTGCATAGTTCAACTAAGGGGCCTCTAAAAACAGGCAGAAACTGCACGTTATGGCTGCTGTGATGAGTGAAAGAGCCATTTTTACAAATAAAATATGCAAATGTGAAGAACCTCCACATACTGGAAGAGCCATTTAAGAACCCTTATTTTTGTGTGTAAGTAGATGGTTATTTAGTTGTGGCCAATAAACCACCACTACATTTACTACTGTTAAATTTTTGCTGCCTTCAACATGTAGAGAATGTACAAGACCATCCAGAACGCGACGCCCTGGCTGATCTTGGCCGGCTCGGGTGGTGTAGCAGATATTTTGGTTACGCTGATATACAGAGGATGTTGGGAGGCTGAGATGGTCCAAGAGCTACTGCTGGACACGTTCAGTGGACTCCACAGCACTGACGTCACCTCCTGGGTCAAAGTGGTGAGGAGCAAGGGCAGCTATACACCTTTTATACTTACTCTTCACATGATTAGCATTACATATGCAGAGAATGTACAATGAGAATGACATTTGCAGGGAACTTTTCAATATTGTTTATTTCTGACTAGATTCAGAGAATTTTGGATAATGGTCACCTGTTGACAGTACATGACCCAGAGCAGGAGACCTCTGAGCTAGACACTGTTATACTCAAAGCGCTAGTTAAAGGTAAGAATCCATTAACATACATTAACATACATTAAAGTTCAGATTTTTTTTCTTCCCTTATAAAGTTACCATTTTGGAGAAACAGGGTTTTTTTGACATCAGTGATTTATAACATGTTTTATTTTTATAACAATACTTTTCTTGAACCTTGACATACATAACCAGCCGTCATAATAGGTAACGTCCAGTAATATAACTACAGTGTCAATGTTATCATTACCATTAACTGTCATGACATATGTCACACTGGTTGACATGACATACTGAAGTACATAGCAAATATGAGCATGTGGCAATAACATGTCACGACATCAAACATTATGGCAATTCGTCATGAACCAGTAATGGAAACAAGACAGTTATACTGTTATATTTTGACAACTCACATCATATGACATCTGCCATTACATGTTCATGGCATGATTATGTCAATAATATGTAGCAGGATTCAAGTACAGTGTTTTTTAAGACGTTTTATGTCCTTTTGCCTTGTTTATGTTGGTGTATTCTTCTGTTCTCTTCTCTGTTCTTTTCTCTCAGCCTGTAAAAGTCAGAGTCAGGAGGCACAGGACTTTCTGGATGAGCTGAAACTAGCCGTGGCCTGGAACAGAGTGGACATTGCAAAAAGCGAGATTTTCAATGGAGATGTGGAGTGGAGTGTAAGACACTTGTGTTTTTGAATAAATTATGGAACCAAATTATATTATTGCAAAATCATCTGTAATAGATTTTAGTTCCTAATTAGTTGATTATAAAGGGCTATTTGATATATATATATATATATATATATATATATATATATATATATATTGTTTTTGAACCAATACATTAGTTTACATTCTGAGGTAAGATGATATTTGTTGAATTACTTCATATTTTGTTAACTCAATATATATTTTTCTCTTAGGCACAAGACCTTGAGGAGATCATGATGGACGCTTTGGTCAATGACAAGCCAGATTTTGTGCGTCTGTTTATGGAGAACGGGGTGAACCTGGGTGAGTTTCTGACGTATGGCCGTCTTCAGGAGCTATACTGCTCTGTGTCTGAGAAAAGCCTGCTCTTCGACCTCCTCCTGAAGAAACACCAGGAGAAACAACTCATGCTGGCCTCAGGTCGGACCCCTGGCCTGCCCTACATGGAGACCGGAGACAGACGGCCTCGCTTCACTCTGCATGAGGTCTCCAAGGTCCTGAAGGACTTTCTGCATGACTCCTGCAAGGGCTTCTATCAGAAACTTCCAGCAGTAAGTAGGAGTGCCAATATGATGGTAGGATAAAATCAAACATTATCACAACAAGCATTTCTGAGCATTTCATGAACATCAGCACTTCTGCAACACTGAACGACTGAATATACACTTTTATCAAATCCTCATCAAGCTGGTTTAAAAGAGCTGTTTAACTGGATATAGTGATGCACTATAAAATACTTAAAAGAATATTTTAGTAGATTTAGTAGCTTTTTAAAATGTTTTGCTTGTGTATTTTGTCTGTTCAAACTCATAAGACCCCAGAACTATGACTTAGCTTGATATGTATCATGTATTGTGGTTATGTTTGCCATATTGCCAAAATACAGGCAGCAGTTCTGTATCTTGTGTGACTACATGGATATGAAAATTTAGGGCAAAGACTTCATTTCCCAGATGCGTTTAGTGGAAGAACCAAGATGATATAGTATTTCAAGTGTACTTACTCTATGAAATACAAAAATAACAATGGACCTCCTTCACCAGCCATTCATAGGAAGAAATCTCTTAACCCACTTATACAGTTTTCACAAAGATTCTGACATTCACCAATGTTTTTTCTTATTTGGGATTTGTTCTTAGGTAAGAACAGAATCTATGCACACTCAAGAGCACAAAGGTGTGGACAATTCTGTGGTTTAAAAACACGTCATGAATGAACACGTCAAGCTATGCAGTTACTAGATTAAGGAACTAAAGTGTGGGCCCACATACAGGCCCTTTAGATTTAAGGAGTTAACTTTTGTTCTTGTTTGTATTTCCTCTCAGGAGAGAGTCAGCAAGGGTCGGCTCTTCCACAGCCAGAAAGACCTACCGGACCTGGATCAGGTCTGCGAGAACCCCTGGAGAGACCTCTTCCTCTGGGCCGTCCTGCAGAACAGACAGAAAATGGCAAACTACTTCTGGGCCATGGTGAGGCCCCACAGGCCTTTAGAGTGACAAGCTGATTTTCATAAACCAACTCTATTTACATCTTTATGGTTTTGTCTTTAGAAAGTCCATCTTATCTGTCAGTGTGTTGTCTGAAGCAAATTGGTTACTAAGTGGTTGCTGAAGGCTTTAACACATTTATGGCCCCAGGGCTAACAGTGGCTGTTGCAGTGCTCAATAAAAGACATACATGATGATAGAGCAGGGGCTATCTACTGTTTTCCCTCCATCTGTTAAGCTTGAATAATATCAAATGTCCAGTCTCTGAGGGGTTCAGTGTTACAGTAAGCAGCTCTCACATTGTATTTTGATAATGCATATAGCTCTCCGCTTATGGTTATTAGTATGAACAAGTCACAGCTTCATGGTGTTCCCAGTTTCCAGCGTTCATGTTTTGCCTGTGTGCATGTCATAGGGTCCAGAGGCGGTGGCTGCAGCTCTTGCTGGGTGTAAGATCCTGAAAGAAATGGCTCATCTGGAGTCGGAGGCCGAGTCTGCCCGCAGCATGAAAGAAGCCAAGTATGAGCAGTTTGCTTTGGGTGAGAATCACAAGTTAATATATAAACTACAACTAAAGAAGTGAACATCAACAGTTTACAGTAGCATAGAGATCTTGACGCCATCAATTTAAAGGGCCCATATCATAGAAAAACTCATTTTTCATACGTTTTAAAAATAAAACACATGTATGTAAACAATGTTTGTTTCAAAATGTACTATGAACTTCCCAGTCGATGCAGTCAATATGTGGGAACTACGCTGTAAAAACAGCTCATTTTGATTCATTATTTGTGATGTCACAAAAAACAACACCTTTACATATATTTGCCTATCTATATATCAGCAGTTTAGCTCCGCCTATTCATGCTGCTAGTCATTTCATCCATGACTGCTTTTTGAATGAGGCACAATACAAGTCAGCCAATCAGGACAGAGGTCATTTACATATATTAGTCTTAACGGCATAGTGACAAAAACAGCCTGGTTGATTTTAAACTGTAAACAGAGGTTGGAAAAGTGGTCATATAAAAAGAGTTCCAATGTTAAATAAACCAACATAAATCATAAAAATGAATGGTTATGATGAATGAATGAAATGATGAATGAAAGATTTTTTTCTCTTTTTAAAAAGAGCAAATTTTTTTGTCAGTATGAAATAATTTCACATATCAAATAGAAAGTTTAAGTAATTATTTTTTCACAAAAACTGCAAAACGGCACTACTGCTAAAATTACAACCTTGAGTAGTACTTCATATGTCTGTGTTTTTCTGTTTGTGTTGGCTTTAGATCTGTTCAGTGAGTGCTACTCCAACAGCGAGGACCGAGCCTATGCCCTTCTGGTGCGGAAAACTCACTGCTGGAGTAAATCCACCGTGCTGAACCTGGCCACCGAGGCGGATGCCAAGTGCTTCTTCGCCCATGATGGAGTCCAGGCAACAGATCACACTCCATCCATTTATTTTCAATGCATGAATTATGTTGATCCCTGGTTGTTTGTACTCATGCTGCATTTTTGTGGTCTTGGCCAGGCTTTGCTGACTAAAATCTGGTGGGGATCCATGACAACAGACACAGCCATCTCTAAACTAGTTCTGTCTTTCTTCTGTCCTCCTCTAATATGGACCAATCTGATTAAATTCAGGTATGCTCTTACATGAAACCATCACACTTTGTACCTGTATTTTGCAAAGATCACTGAAACTGATTTAATCAATGGCAGTTTCATTAGATCGGCATTTATTTACTGTGCTTGTTTCTCTGTGATTTGTAGTGATGAGATACTGCAGAGTCGTGGAGGAGGGCAACAGTTTGCAGAGCTGGACAGTTTGGACACAGAGAAAGCCCTGCTTCTTACCGACGAGGACCCAGCGTCAGTCTCTTTAACTCTGCAGCATAACAGTTTTCTTTTTTTTCCTGTTCACTAACCTCTCAACGGCGAATTCTATTGATTTTTCAAAAATTATGAATAACTCAATGGTTGAGATGTAAGCATAGTCATTCACAGTGGTTTGGTGTGAAGTACCTCATTATAAAGAAACTCACCTGCTTGGATTTCTTTACAGTGTTTTTTATAATGTTGACAATAGTAAAATTGTGTTAAATCCTAAAAAAATATGTGTTCTTTTGGAGCTATTTTACTTTAGGACATTGTGCATGTACCGCTCTGTGAGGAATAGATTTAAAAAATACAGTTTAGGCCAAAAAAAGTGTCTCAGGTGTCAGGCAACATATTCGTAACCATTTCATGCAACTTGAATTTATGTGTGATAGCTTTTAGAGGCATTGAACAGTTCAGATGTCTGGTTCCTATCACCACTACTGTGAACACTTCTTCTCAACCATTTTCTCTTCAATGGATTATTTCACATCATACCATTCTGAATGACTTTGTTTACACCTTACCGATTGAATTGTGCAAAACATTTGATGGAAAAAAATGTGAAATTCCCCATAAACCCCTTAAGTTTACAACACAGATTATAATGCTATTTCTGCCTTTTAATCTATGTTTATCCTTAAATATGTTAATTTCTCATGCTGCACATTTCACATTTCAGTTTTTTTTCTTGCTATTCTGACTAAAAATATCACTAATAAATTATTAGGGATCTGAATTCTATTCTGAATGTGTGTGCTACTCACTCAGAAAGCATTACAGTGCATCCAACAATAAAGGCAGCAATGAGCTTCTTTCACACAGTGACAGAACACAGAAAGCTCCTGTTCCACATGCTGATCCATTTCAACATGGTTAACACCAAACAGTCTCAGAGAGGTTCAATAATATGAACTAAACTTTGTGGAACTTACTGACTTGTCACTTCTCTTTCCTCTCTTTGTGTTATGTGTTGTGTGTAAGTGACTCAGAGGCAGCTGGTGACCCTGCAGACCAGAGCTGTAGCCAGGCCTGGAGTCAGTTCCTCCTGCGCCGCTGGAAACGCTTCTGGAGCGCCCCGGTCACTGTGTTCCTGGGAAACGTCATCATGTACTTCGCCTTCCTGGTCCTTTTCACCTACGTGCTCCTGCTGGACTTCCAGCCGCCGCCTCCCAAAGGACCCTCTATAGCCGAGATCATTCTCTACTTCTGGGTTTTCACGCTGGTGCTGGAGGAGATAAGACAGGTGTGAAGAACAAATATCAAGGACGCACAAAGTTTAGGGCTTGTCATAAACATTTACAATCATATTTAGAATTCTATTCAGATTAGATTGAGTAACTATTCTGCTATAGCTGTATATAGTTCAGATGGAGTCACACCTGATTAAAATAATAGTTGGGCTATGGGTCTATAGATCTTGGGCAATGATGAAATACCAGTATTCCAAAATCAAATGTCATTTTAAGTCCATGATCTGTATGTCAGCATATCTTACAAGCTAATTCATTTGGTTACAAAATAACATAATAATAATAATAATATAAGATTCATATTTGAATAATAATGCACAATGCACAATTACTGCTTATTTGTTGAGTTTAACATATTGGAAAAAAGTAAGCCAGAATATGGCCTGTGCAAAAATAACAGCATATATATATATATATATATGTGTGTGTGTGTGTGTGTGTGCGCGTACGTTGCTGTTGGAACAAAACCAAAAAAGGATGTGTTAACTTCTTTTCACTTTATTCACTTAATTTATTTTTTTAACACATCATTCGACCAGGTGTTTAGATCTCTGAGTATCTGCACACAACGTAATGCCAATTACATGCAAAGCAATGGCAGTTAGTCTTATTCGTTGTGGTTCATTTTAATCATACAAAATGTCCATTTTATTATGTTATACTGTCATGTTTCATGTTTCTTAGAGCTTCTTCACAGATGAAGACATGAACATTCTGAAGAAATTTAAGCTCTATGTGGAGGATAACTGGAACAAATGTGACATGGTGGCAATCTCTCTCTTCGTGGTCGGGGTGTTGTGCAGGTACAATATTTTACTGAGGCTGGACTGAAAGGTGCTTTTACTAAATGGAAGACCTCTCCTTGACCTCTTTCTTTCGTCTCTGTGCAGGATGATGGAAAACACATATGAAGCTGGACGCACAGTCCTGGCTTTGGACTTCATGGTTTTCACCTTGAGGCTCATCCACATATTCGCCATCCACAAACAACTTGGGCCCAAGATCATCATTGTGGAGAGAATGGTGAATGCATAACACTGAATTGTTTGAAATTTGAAGCCGAAAATTGACAAAATTTTGATGAACATTTTAGTCGATGCCTGACCTACAGCATTTTTTTTGTCGTTCTTAGATGAAGGATGTATTCTTCTTCCTGTTCTTCCTGAGTGTGTGGCTGATTGCATATGGAGTGGCGACCCAGGCTCTGCTGCACCCCAACGACCCGCGCCTGGACTGGGTCTTCCGCAGAGTGCTCTATCGGCCATACCTCCACATATTCGGCCAGATCCCCCTGGAGGAGATTGATGGTAAACTATTCTGCTTGTGATCTTTATTAACAATTATAAAACAAGGATTGGTTTTCATTTTTATACATATAGTTGTATATAGAGCAGAATAGCTTTTATACTTACACTGCCCACCAAAAGTTCGGGGACAATTTGTCTTCATTTGAAGATTTCTGAACAGTTTTTCCTGTTACTTTCAATGAAGTTAAAAAGTACACACAATGGCCTAAATATCTGTTAACATAAAACAGTAAAAGATATTTACTAATGCTTTGGGTATATATAACTCTTAGCATCATATTTACCATATTAACGTGTCTTCTTTGTTAAGGATAGTAGGTTTATTTTGCTTAATCAATGACTTTACTATGAAAACATGCACATTTGTATTGGAACTACTTAGAAGAGTAGCCCTAAACTTTTGAAGGACAGTGTATTTTTAATCACATTTAGCACCAGCTTTCCAGGCATGGATTAAGCCTAATAACAGATTGAACAGATTTCAATTAAGTGTCAAGCTTAATATGTGTCTGCAAACATTTGGCGGAAGTGTTTAATTTGATGTCAGCTGACTTTTTACAGTTGAACTACTTTCATTTTCTCTTGCCTAAAGCTGTTAGTTGAGATGCTGCCACTAGATGGAGACACAGCGCAGGTTAACTATGTTACCATTGCTTTACATTTGTCCACAGCTGCCAAAATGCAGGCTGATAACTGTACCATGAACCTGCAGGAGATCATTACAGGCACTCTGCCACCCTGCCCAAACATCTATGCCAACTGGCTGGTCATCTTGTTGCTAGTCATATATTTGCTGGTCACTAATGTCCTGCTGCTGAACCTGCTCATTGCCATGTTCAGGTGAGAGGGGGTCCTAATTAATTACTTCGATTATCAAAAAGAACATATCTCATTGCTGACTTACACTTCAAGTAAACATGCAGACTAGAGTGAAAGAACAAGCCTTTCAGCTCTAACAAGTTCTCTGTAATATCTAAGTATCACTTCTGCCTCTATTCCACAGCTACACATTCCAGGTGGTACAGGGGAACACGGATATCTTCTGGAAGTTTCAGCGGTATAATCTGATAGTGGAATACCACAGCCGGCCTGCCCTGGCGCCTCCCTTCATCATTATCAGCCACCTCTCCCAGCTCTTCCTCAGCCTCTTCAAAAAGGCAGAGTCCAAACTAGAGCACCTCGGTCAGTCACGCTCAGCCCTGACTGAGCAGAACTTCATACTGGTCAAGACTGAAACTTGATCTGAGACCAGTTTTACAGTTTTTCTTACTATAGATAGGGCTAGACTTTGGGTATGATAGAGATGTCCTAGATCAATGTGCATTAGATTATACATAATTGTATTATACATATATTTCAACCCCTTAAATGCATACAGTGGTGTGAGAAAGTATTTGCCCCCTTCTGATTTCCTCTATTTTTGCATATTTGTCACACTTAATGGTTTCAGATCTTATAATATAATACAAGCACACTGTGAGGAAATACCAAAAAAAAATGCAAATGATCATTACATTTATTAATGAAAAAAAGTTTAACACTTATACCACCCATGTGAAAAAGTAACTGCCCCTCCTAAACCTAATAACTTCTGCTACAATCAGTTTCCTATAACTGGAGATCAGTCTGACCGAGGAATTTTGGCCCACTCTTCTTTGTAGAATTGCTTTAATTCAGTCACCGTTCAAGATCCTGCCACAGCATCTCAATGCTGTTTTAAGTCAGGAAATTGACTAGGCCTCTCTGAACCCTTAACTTTGTTTCTTTTGCGCCATTCAGAGGAGGATCTACTCTTATGCTTCAGAAGTTTGTCTTGCAGAATAACTCAACTGTGCTTAAGAATCAGATCACAGACTGATAACTGGATGTTCTCCAGCATGATTTTCTGTTAGAGAGCAGAATTCATGGTTCATCAATTATGGCAAGCAGCCCAGGCCCTGAAGCAGCAAAGATACCCCCTCAATATCACACTACCACCACCATGTTTGACTGTTGGCATGATGTTCTGATTGTGGAATGCTGTGTTAGCTTTATACCAGGTGTAACGTGCCCTCTGTCTTCCAAAAACTTTCACTCTCTCTGTGGCTCGCTCGAGTCCCAGAGCCTTAGAAATGGCTTTGTAAACCTTTCCATACTGATATATGTCAATAACATTCATTCTCATCTCTATCTAAATTTGACTGCAGTGTTAGTGGGCTGTTCATTGAGATCTTTTATTGAACCTACTTCAATTTGCTGGAAAGGTTATATTTAGGTGATGTTTAGATTCAACAATCAGAAACAATGTGTCTGGTTTAACTGATCCCAGTTACCAACTAAATTTTGTTGATTGAGAAACTAAGAGGGAAGTAAATGAAATTATCATTTAAAAACTGTATTTTGTGTTTGCTCAGGTTGTCTTGTATTAAAGTTTGTTTGAAGATCTGAAACAATTTAGTGTGTTAAACATGCAAAAACAGATGAAATCATGAGCAGGCAAAAACCTTTTCAAAGCACTGTGCATCAAATATGACAAATCAAAATATCAAATCATAACAAAACATTTGTTACTATTTTGTAATGTTATGTTTTGACAAATTTACACTTTATAACAGTTTATCGTTCAAACTGTGTTATAAGTGCTGTGTTACTAACAACCTGAAGTATGTACGGATGATCAGTGAATCACCCGTGCATTTCAGGGTTAAGGCCGATTTCTGAAAGTGTTTCTGTTAAATATGGCAGAAATTTGGCTAAAACATTCCTTTCTGGCTACTTGCCACTTCCCAATAATGTAAGTAAGAAAGATATGAACTGGAGGGAATTTTACAATCAAATAAAACTTGACAATATGTTTAACAATATGTCAGAGAGGGAGCTGCCAGCAGGGCTGGACCAGAAGCTGATGACCTGGGAGACTGTTCAGAAGGAGAACTATCTGGCCAGACTGGAGAGGCGTCACCTGGAGAGCAGTGAGGAGAGACTTAAGAGCACATCCTCCAAGTGAGCAACTCTCTGATATTTATTATTTAGAATAGTTCAATGAAAGTCATTCAGAGTGGTTTGATGTGGAAGTGCATTGTAGAGAAACTTATTGACTTGACAATCACAGTGACAGGAACCAGGGGTCGCAGTGTCTACAACACAAATATAGCCATTTTATTTACTGTTTAAAATGAGCAGTAAACATACACATGAGTTTTATACGTAATTTTGATGATGGTGAAATGATGGTAAATCTGAAAAAAAAAATCTCTAGGTCTGCATTGGTTTTAGATTTGAATATCTTTTAAGATCATTTTTATTTACTGTAGGCCAAAATCTTATTTTAAAACTACCGTAAAACAGTGTCTCAGACATCAGGCAGAGTTTTCATTACCAGTTTATGTAATAACTTTCAAAGAGGCAGATTTTAGAGGCATTAAACACTTCTGGTCCCCATCACCACCACTGTGAATAATTCTGACTCAGTATGTTTCTTTAGAACAGAGCGTTTCACATTAAACTGCTCTGAATGACCTTGTTTGTATCTTAATGATTTAATTATGCAGAACATTTTAAAAATCTGAGAAATTCCCCTTTAACTGACCATACTGCTATTGTATTTCAGAGTGCAGAGCTTGTTGAAAATTGTGGGAGGATTTAAAGAGCAAGAAAAACGCTTGGCATCTATGGAGACTGAGGTAAAATACAGATAATATGACTGTACACAGTAAGGTGTAGGTGTAAAGTCTACAGCTCATCTTTTTCCATGCAAAATTTGTGTTAGTCATCCTCTGTGTCATCATTAATGGTCAGTTTATGATCACAGGACCACTGTTGGTTGGATATTTTTGTTTGGTGGCCTGTTCTCACCCCAGCAGTGATATTTAGGCGTTTAAAAATCCCAGCAAAATGGCTGTGCCAGGTAAACTCATACCAGCACTACACAAGCTATCATGTTGGTATAACTGTTAGGCTGAGAATTGTCCACCACTCATATAATACCTCACTCTCAGTGCTCTGATTCTTTTCCATTAACAAACAGGGTAAATAGGTGTTTTGAATTATACAGCAACAAATGTGCTACAGTCAGTAATTCTGAACCTACAAAGTGCTCCTATATGCATGTTGATAAAATGGCCAGCGAGTTTAGGAACAAGGTAGGTGTACCTGAAAAACTGGCAAATAAGTGTTAAGGCACACCAGTGTCTTCCAAATGAGCGTGATTAATACAGCCATAACCTTGTCCTCCAGGTGAGGTATTGTGGAGAGGTGCTGTCCTGGATTGCTGAATGCTTTGACAAGAGCACTCTAAAGTGTGACAGAGATGCTCCCAGAGCTCCACGTAAGTCTTTATCTTGGTATTCAACAACAATCCTCATTCCCAGTTCACTCTGGTAGTTGTTAAGGTTAACATCACAACATTTGTGTGCATTACAGGCACCAAGAGCAGCTGTAGCGGCAGCGGCAGCAGCTGTAGCAGCCCGAGTGTTCCTCAGCCAAGCACACCAAAGAAAGAGGAGCCAGAAGGACATCCAGGATACGGAGCGAACAAGAAACTGCCTTACATTGATGAGTGAAAGTGGCAGCACATACGCCACACTGCTCTCAGTTGTGCAGATAAAGTGAATCTTACTAATAAGTTTACTTTAAACAGTGTCTTTACTCAAGGATGCTTTACAGTAAGTTGAACGGTAACAATATACAGAAATATACACTGCAAAAAAAAATACTGGCAAATGAAAGAATCTTATATTTGTTATATATAAGCAATGTACAGTTGTGTGCAAAAGTTTGGGCACCCCGGTCAAATTACGTTTTGTTGATTTTCTAAGTGGAAGTAAGTTAACACATTTTCTACAGAGAACACACTTCTGCATGTTTTAATGCACAATTACTGTTTGTTTGCTGAATTTAACATTTTGGGGAAAAAAATGGGTTGTGCATAAAGTTATGGCACATTATATTTTATGTCTCAATTATTTATTTAGTTTCCAATATGTTAATAAATAGAAATTGTCCATTAAATGTGCAGAAAAAGTTTTTTTTTGTTTTAATGAAATAATGTTTGAAGACGTTATCTGCCAGTGCAATAAGATCAGTCTTACAATGAGAAATATTAGATATATTGCCTACATTTAAGATGCTCTTAGTTGCATATTATTTTTGCAGTGTATATGGATAGAAATCTAGTATACATGAAAAGACCTAGTATGCAAAGTCATAGTAGAAACAGGACTTATTATTAAAGTTATTATTAAACCTGTCACTATTAGGAATGAAATTCCACCCATCCAAAATTTCAAAGTAAGAATGTTCTATCAAAGAAGCACTGCCTTTTATGTCTGTTTTTTTTTTCCACTTTTCTAAATCACATATTTAAAGCTGTGTAATTATTTATTGCTGCATTTTACACTACGTATCTAGAATCTACTATGTTTTTGATTCTTAAGCTTTATTGTCTGGTATATCAATGGATTAAAATCACTAATAATATAAACATTTCAATTTTAATCTGTTTTGTTTCATTTCTTGAAGCGTCAAATCTTACAAAGAGATGTTCTCACTTAGGTGTCATAAAGTACAAGAAAAACAACTTGCCATGGTTGAGCCTCTAGCTCACACTTCCTCCTTCAAACTTCCCTGTTTTAAGTGCTATAAACGACTTTTGTAAATGATTCTGAAAAATGATCTGTTCTGACTTATCCTCATCTCCAAGCAGACTTCAAAATCCAAGAGTACTTTGCTGTTCTTAGCGTGTCCATCCAGATCCAGACTTTTAAGCACTGATTATTCATTATCAAGGAATGGCCAATACAGTGTCCTCTAAGTCAATAAATCAGTAACCTAGGGAAGTGAGAAAAAAAGGAAAAACACCATTAGAGAAAAGGACTTCATGAGTTTGCTTACAACACTGCCTGAGAAACACACATGCTGCAGTTTAGATAAGTCTGAGTCTTTGAATAAACTGAAAAGACAACATGTGAACTGTGGTAAGTGTTTCCATTTGTTATAATTAAGCCTGTTTTACTGTTTATAGCTGAACTTTACATGTGTATTGATTTTATGTATTGTTCTATCAGAGAGGCAACATGAGATGATTAATGCACTGTATTTAATGACTCATTACATTTATATCTCAACATAAGTAAGTCATTCTGTGAATTGACTGCCCTGTATTTAAAGGAACACTTATTGGGGATAAATTAAGGTCCCATTCTTTGCTCAGTAAAGCCTGAATTAGATACTTCTGAAATGGTTTATTCATGCCTTAAGCTATATTCATTCACCTGTACATATTTGGTGTTCTGTTATGTGAAAATCACTAATTATCACATTATTAGTTGTAATCATGCTCAATAAACACTTTGCTAAGACCTTGTTATGCAAATTACTGAGCATGAATTATCATCTAAATTCACACTGTATAACTGTATGATGGCCAGCATTCGATTGCTGTGACTTCTGGAGTTCACTGCTTTAGAGCTAATGAGAGTCACTGATACTTCAAGATGTATTCCATATTCTAAAAAGCAATTTCAGTCATTATAAATGTACAAATGTCACAACTTTAATACCTACTTATTAGTACTTTGATTGCCAAATAGATTGAATATGTTACTAATATGTCAGCACTGGGTTCCATACAAAATTTCAGTGGCTGAAACTGCACTGTAGAATATGGAACACATCTTGAAGTATTAAGTTAAGTGAAGACTTAACTAAATCAGTGAAGACCTCTAATTATGTAAATTCTTCATCTGGCTTCTAAAGAAAGAAGGGTTTAGATTCTGATATGAATATGCACTATGACATAGTGAGGTTATATAAATTGTTATCTGTAACTTCTGATCATTTGGTATGTTTTTATCGTAACCACTTCCACTGAAATAGGTGATGCCCTGAATTCACCTGATACAAATGTGTACATGATTCCTCCTGACTTTCACTTTACTAACTTTTAATAACTGGTGATGTAACATTGGCTGTTTTATTCATATGAAAGTGAATTTACTGCTGTTTTTGTACTTAAATACTTTATGTTCAACACTGCATGTTCTCTCATTAGCGGATCACCTTGAGGCGTCCCTGCCCTTCTACTGAAACTCACTCAGTGCTGACTGCTGCTTTTTGTTTAGTTAATCAGTAAACAGATACACACTATACAGTGTGGGTAGGAAGTTAGTGCACCACAGGAAGTTGACAAAGCGCAGCTTGCTCACCTGTCCACTTTCACAAACTCTCAACACTTTCACAACAAATTCAAGTCCCAGAAAACTCTATTTCTCAGCATGCTCTGAATATGACAACCAGGACACCACTAATACCAGAGTAGTTAGAAACATAGAATGCTGTGCAAAAGTTTTAGGCATTTAAGAAAATTTTATTTAATAATTAATTAAATGTAAATAAATAATTAAATGTACTTATCTGGGCAGTAAGCTCTTATTTGTTAAAAAAAAACCAAACACATTTAGAACAAACACATAATAACATTAATACAGTGAGTACTGGTTCTGTGTCTGTCAGTGTGTTTATCTGACTACTTCTAAACCTCTCCTTGAGTACTGGAAGCCCCGTATTATTTATGGTTATCATCCAATCCTTAGTTTGGCTAATCAGTGCTTCACTAAATGAAATCGGTTGTGCTGTTAATGGAACTAACGAAACTTTGGCCTGCGGACCACACTTCTGGGCAAACCTGGTCTAATTACTTCAGAGCATACCTTCTGACCTCCTGTAGGTTCTCTGTTCCTGATTGCACATTAGCACCTACCTGGAGTGAGGATGATGAGCTCGGGTCATCGGCGGGTCCACAGCCTGAGCTCCATGCCTCTGCCTCTCCTTCCTCAGCTGCAGGCCGGCTCCAGCACGCTGCAAGACTCTAATGTCAGCGACATGAACAGGTGACTGGAGATCACACCTTGCACCCAGACAGCCCTAAAGCCAACTGAAATCATCAAGTGAGCAAAAATGTAAAGGAATTTAAAGTGTTAAGGAATACTCCAGTGATTTCAGCTTCATCTGCTGCATTTGTAGCATACAGGCTATAATGGACAAAAGCTGTGATTTCTGTACTTAGAAAAAGAACAGACTTGAAACATTTAATAAGTACATGATAGCAGTTAATGAGCAGATGCTAAACTGCCTGCATTTTGCTATTTATTTCTTTCTGTTATGAAACATATGATTATGAAGAAACAATATTGGTATTTTTTATAAATACTGTTTTAGTATCTACTCTGCAGTCATCAAGGTGTTTCGAGGAGAGAGGCTGCAGATGAATGAACTCTACTCCTTAAACGAAAGCATCAGGTACGCACACTAAACAAGGCCTGCATAAGTAATGTTTAATAAGACACGCATTGACCATTTAAACTGCTTATTATTCAGTTCTTAATTTTAAACCTTACTACTATGATTATAATAATATGATTACTACTTAATTTTAAACCTTACTACTACTGATATGTATGTCATTTAGCTACTAAAGTAAGGAATTTAAGTGTGGATGCAAATGCAGACCCTTCCAGGTTAAGGGGTAAACAATCAGCTTAGAGGGGAGTTTCTCTGATTTTTCAATTTTTTTGCTAAATTAAACGGTTAAGATGTAAACCTAGTCATTTAGAGTGGTTTGATATGAAATGCACTGTTCTAGAAAAAACATACAAAGTCAGAATTGTTCACAGCGGTGGTGACAGGGTTAGGGATAAGATGTCTGAAGAGACTTTAATTCCTCTGAGAGCTACCTCCAAAATGACTTCTAAGACAATATTCTTGCATTAACTTACATTGAAAGTTAAGAACATATTTTCCTTCTCCTGTAAAATTACTTTATGGAGATATATGGTCTCGTTCTGACAGCAATGACATCCAAGTTAAATATCTGTGGACAAAAACTCACACACATTAACCCACATGCTCTTTTTCTCTGCCTTGTCAGATGGCTTCTAAAAACAGAAATGGGCTCGTTCATCAAGGAGTATTTTCAGGTACACTCTATCTTCAGCTCCTGGCGCCAGCACTCTGGTCCCAAAAGAGTGACTGAAACAGACTTAAAACAGACTGGATTTGTATTTCTGTGCCACAATGTGTTTTCCCAACAGTATTTCACGTCAGTGTGGTACAACATATTAGCATTTCAAATACTGTAGTTCAAACTGACCAGTAAAAATAGCCTTTAACACTAATATGTTTTTAGGAAACCACTTCCAGTAAATCTTAGTTCTCTTTTCTTGCTAACAGAATCAGCTTCTGCATAAAGGTCTTAGATTTATTTTGGAGGAGGTGCTGCTGTATGAAGGTAAGAAAGGAGCTCCGACAGATTCAATGTACTGTACATGAGTGCTGAGGATGACCGATTCATGATCATCTATTTCATGTCTCCTTAGGGGAGAGTCAACTCTTTTTCTTGGCTGATGTATGGCTGAGATTTTTCTCTGAGATTTTGCCCACATTGCAGGCTATTTTTTATCCACTGCAGGTAAGCCAACATACATTGTCTTAAAAACCACTTGAATTACATAATTTGAGAGCTTATGTGCATATTAAATTGATAGTTGGACAAAAGTCACATTTTCCTCTTACCCTAGATGAAGTCGATCGGCCACCAATTCTGCTATTGACTGATCAGTTTTCGTCCAAATTACACACCTAAATCAACACTTGCCTCAAAGCACAGCTGTACATATATAGGTATATATCTCAAATAGGTGATTCCATGTTTGAAGTGCCTTTTAGAAAACGTGTATTTAACCACTCAAAAATGTGTTAAGCCACCTCAGGAATCTTTTTTTGCTTGTTTGTTTAACTTGTAACTGTAAATTTAGTAGGGGGCGGAGGGGACATGTGCTCCCTACTCTTTGAAATAACACAAGATCATTTTTGTGGGGTAGCAGAATGGCTGTTGAAAAAAAGTAGCTTACACAGCTTGCATTAGGGACATACAGAGAGTACTCGATAAATCATTTGCATATTTGAATTTTGAAATGACTATTCAGGTACTTGTTCCGTTCCATCACAGGAAGCTGTAGAGACTAACAAGTCAACAAGACATACTTGCCAAGTCAGAATTGTTCACAATGATGGTGGTAGAAACCACAAGTCCACCTCTAAAAGCTCTCTCACAGAAAGTTATTAAATAAAATGATTAAATATGCTGCCTGATGTCTGACACATAGTTTTGTGATAAAGTTTTGGCTTAAAATGTATTTTGATCCATTTATTTTAATCCAGTCATGGCAGAGAGGTACATGCAAGGACCTTGTAAGGCAAAACAGTCCCCAAAGAAAACTTATTATTTTTAGATTTTACCATTATCAACATTGCATATAAAACCTAAGAAGAAATGTAGGTTCACTGGTGTTTTGGATAGTAAATAAAATGGCTATATTTGCGTTGTAGACATGATGACCCCTGGTTCCTATCACCACCACTGTAAAGAAATCAGAGTTTTTAAGTTTCTCTACAATGAACCATTTTACATCCACCCTTGATGACTATTTATATCTCAAGGACTGAATTTTTCAGAAATGTAAAAAACACAAAAACCTAAAATCCTCTCTGTTTAACGTAAGTGCTACCAAGGACGTGTTCTAAAAGCTGTGATTAAGAAGGCAGGTGTAGCTACTGCTAACCAAGCTTACTGGTCTTGCTGATGTAAGTCAGGTCCAAAAACAGTAAAAATATATTTTTCAGAAAAACTAACATGTTGGCACATCATCCACTGAGGAGAAAATACCCAGTGTAAGACAACAAGTCCGCATCAGCATCGTGTTGTACCAGTTAGCTTTAGTGTTAGCTCACATCTGAAGAGGCAGCCTTCATTACTCATCTAACACAAAAGCTACCAATCCTCCCCATCTTTTTCAATTATGAAACATCTTTTCAAATGTTTTCTTTTGCTTGTGGCATGTTTATGTTACTTATTTTTTAGCCTTTTAACACTGACCTGCCTTCAAGTCCTCCATGGAAGTTCCTACTTATCACATCAGGGATCACGAACAACATGATGTTCAAGTGGTTTGCCGAGAAAATGACATGAATGTCACATGATCTCATGAAAACAAATGAAAATAACTTATCACAGAAAACAGAAAAAATATGTGAATCCATGGCCCTTTATTATTATAATTATTTGTATTTATAGTAACATTTGTAGTTCTTTCAGTACTAAAGCAAATTGTGGTGCTGGGCTGCCATTAAACATGCATAGGTGTAAATCATTACTGATTAGCCAATCATTTACACACACAATCTCTCTGGCTCGACCACACAACATACTGCCTTTTATTTCATGATCACCTAGGCAAATGGCTCCCTACTCCCTATGTAGTGCATTGCATAGGTCTTAAAATAATAACTCTGGCACCCAAATAGTGCATAATATACAGTGGTGTGAAAAAGTGTTTGCCCCCTTCCTGATTTCTTATTCTTTTGCATGTTTGTCACACTTAAATGTTTCACATCACCAAACAAATTTAAATATTAGACAAAGATAACACAAGTAAACACAAAATGCAGTTTATAAATGAAGATCTTCATTATTAAGGGAAAAAGAAATCCTAACCTACAGGGCCCTGTGTGAAAAAGTGATTGCCCCCTAAACCTAATAACTGGTTGGGCCACCCTTAGCAGCAACAACTGCAATCAAGCGTTTGCGATAACTGGCAATGAGTCTTTTAGAGCACTGTGGAGGAATTTTAGCCCACTCATCTTTGCAGAATTGTTGTAATTCAGCCACATTGGAGGATTTTTAAGGTCATGCCACAGCATCTCAATCAGATTCAGGTCAGGACTTTGACTAGGCCGCTCCAAAGTCTTAATTTTGTTTTTCTTAAGCCATTCAGAGGTGGACTTACTGGTGTGTTTTGGATCATTGTCCTGCTGCAGAACCCAAGTGCGCTTCAGCTTGAGGTCACGAACAGATGGCCGGACATTCTCCTTCAGGATTTTTTGGTAAACAGCAGAATTCATGGTTCCATTTACCACAGCAAGTCTTCCAGGCCCTGAAGCAGCAAAACAGCCCCAGACCATCACACTACCACCACCATATTTTACTGTTGGTATGACGTTCCTTTTCTGAAATGCTGTGTTACTTCTTTGCCATAAGTAATGGAACATACACCTTCCCAAAAAGTTCAACTTTTGTCTCATCAGTCCACAGAGTATTCTCCCAAAAGTCTTGGGGATCAAGATGTTTTCTGGCAAAACTGAGACGAGCCTTTATGTTCTTTTTGCTCAGCAGTGGTTTTCGTCTTTGAACTCTGCCATGCAGGCCATTTTTGCCCAGTCTCTTTCTTATGGTGGAGTCATGAACACTGACCTTAACCGAGGCAAGTGAGGTCTGCAGTTCTTTGGATGTTGTTGTGGGGTCTTTTGTGACATCTTGGATGAGTCGTCGCTGCGCTCTTGGGGTAATTTTGGTCGGTTGGCCACTCCTGGGAAGGTTCACCACTGTTCCATGTTTTCGCCATTTGTGGATAATGGCTCTCACTGTGGTTCGCTGTGGTTCCCAAAGCTTTAGAAATGGCTTTATAACCTTTTCCAGACTGATAGATCTCAATTAAATTGTTTCTCATTTGTTCCTGAATTTCTTTGGATCGCAACATGATGTCTAGCTTTTGAGGATCTTTTGGTCTATTTCACTTCGTCAGGCAGTTCCTGTTTATGTGATTTCTTGATTAAGAACAGGTGTGGCAGTAATCAGGCCTGGGTGTGGCTAGGGAAATTGAACTCAGCTTTCCAAAGATGTGATAAACCACAGTTAATTTATGTTTTAATGCAATCACTTTTTCACACAGGGCCCTGTAGGTTTGGATTTCTTTTTCCCTTAATAATAAAGACCTTAATTTATAAACTGCATTTTGTGTTTACTTGTGTTATCTTTGTCTAATATTTAAATTTGTTTGGTGATGTGAAACATTTAAGTGTGACAAACATGCAAAAGAATAAGAAATCAGGATGGTGGCAAACACTTTTTCACACCACTGTATGTAACAAAGAGCCATGTGAGATTCAGTCCCATGTGCACAATTCTCGAGAGGATATATAATGCACTATAGTCCAAATTTCATAACCATTTTGGATTGAGCCATAGTGTTTAAGGGTTTCTAAAAATATTATGCACAGCCTTCCATGCCCTCCATATAATAAAAAGCAATGTACAGTAGCTACTTTGCCTCTTGACCACTATCTAACATCAGAACCAGAGCGAAGAGTGTGGGTCTGAGATTGCAGTACTGCAGCTCTGCAGTTAGACCCTTCTCCTTTAGGACATACTATCATTAACTGCTATTGCTTTTTTGACGCCCACAACTTGGAAATTCAGGGCTCACAGAAAAATCCCCACTAGAGTTTTCCACTAGTAAATACGACATTGTGGTGGCGTTCATTTGCCCTCACCTTGTTAATGGGATATTTCCAAAACAACTTAAAGGCAGCGTCACCTAAATCTGTTCATGCATTTGGCTGAAGTACTATATTTTTTCCTTACACGTGGTTAATGGGATATCTGTTAATAAACTCTAGCAGTTACTTAAAGATAAGAGTTAGTCAGAAAACACATCCCTTGCTTATGTTATTGATAATATTTTCCATTAAATCTCTCCTACTAATCATATTGAGTTTGTTACTACAAGCTAAGAGGGTGGTTTTAGTGAAAATGCATCATGCGCGCATGGAGCTGAGCCAAAAGAGTTTCTGTCAGTGTGCAGCAGTTCATCGTGAAGCAGCTAGCCCAACAGCTAACTTCACTTCCTCATGTGTAATTCCTGTAAAGAATATTGTTTGTTTTTTTGTTTTAATGTTTTCATTTAAAGCATTAGATATCATGAGAATGTATTAACTCTGCATACTTGTTTACCTAGATTGATGTATGAAATTTGCAAATCAGATCAAATTTGCACGAATGACAGACTCAGGGAAATTGATGTTTCAAGTATGAGATGTTGAATGGCTTCAAAGATTAGATTAGATTATCTTTGAAAGATATTTCACAGACTTGCAAAATAATAACTGTATTTTAAGCTGAAGTGTTGCAAAGTGCTGCAGACAGGTTTTATTAATATTTTAAGGTATTAATCTGAAACATGTACGTAGCTGTTGTAAAGGACACTCCACCTGTGTTTAAAATGTTTTACTATCACTTTAATGAAAATATTTCTAAATGTAATATTGGTGGGACACAAGTGGCACCAAATTCATGGAATCACCCAAACAGACTTGTTAACACAGTGTAATCTATGAAACAGGACCAAAATACACTGCATGGCTAAAAACAATAACCTACCTGTGTCTTTATTTCACTGGTTTCTCTCAGGGTCAGGAGCTGACAGTGAGGCAGATGGCCCTGCTGGCCTTCAGGGATTTGGTCCTGATGAGGGTTCCACTGGAGGATCTGCTGCCCACCAACTTATCTCTGCTTCCCACATCCATCACGCAGATGCTGCTTGTCCTGCAGGTGAGATTGCCTCCTGCATGCACATAGACACATATAGTTTTGATACCAGCTACACACTTTATTTACTGTATGTGCTTATGTGTGTGTTCAGGGGGTCCATGAACCGAGGGGCCCCTCAGTGGAATACTGTCGACTTGAGAAGATGCTGGAAATGGTGGTTTCTCCCTATCTGTGGAACTGTAAACACAAAAGTAATGTGTTCCATGTATACTCATATGCACTCAATTGCTAGTTTATTCAGCACTTGCATCTATGCTCAGTTTTTTCTACCATAAAAACAGTCAGTGGTGGTCCCTTTCCATTGCTGGATATAGGGTAGGTGTATTCTATTATATACATATTTTGTAGGTACATTGTAGGTATTGTAAATGGTGCTTCGAAGAACCAGCTATTCAAAAGCTCTTTGAGGAACTGAAAGTGGTTCTTGTATTGCATCCTTTTTCAGCACCTTTATTTTTAGTACTTCTAATTACTTGTTACCTTTTCTCTACTTCTTCCAGGCAATGCAGAAGAAACCAAAGAAACCAGACACTTCATCCAACCAGAGATAAAGATTACACAGCACATTTCAGAGGGCTCTCTTCTGTCACCTTTAATGGAGCAGGACGGAGAGACGTATCTGGATAGAGGGGCCAGCCTACGGCGCCACACTGTGGCTAATAGCCTATCCAGCATGTCCAACACGCAGCTCTCTGTTACTGATAGGATGCATTGTGGGTTAGTAGAAAGCTATGAAACCATTGATGAAATAAGAGAAGAACACAACAGGGGTATCTCTCTTAAGGCGGTCACACATTTTGAGAGCCAAAGCTGTTGAGAGACCATTGCGTGTACACTTTTTAAGGGAAAACCAAGACATATAAGCCTCAGTATGGTGCACATGTCAAATATTCATACAATATGTTGTATAAACCAAGCAAATACTGTTAAAAATAGACAAAATCCCTCAACGTGCCATTTTTGTTGCGGCAATAGTTGCTCTCTCTCTCCCATCCTTTAAGAAGAACATCAAGCTAAATATCTAATAAAGCTACAATAACTCAAACATATATCCTTCTGCCTTTCCAACTTTGGCTAGAGAGTCAAGTTAACCAAGAGAAAAACATTTTTGTCTTATTTTCCGTAGGACCTATGTTGCACATTTTTTAAAACAAACAAAACATTTCCATTTGGTTTATACATCACATTTTAATAGCAATGGACATGCACACTATTTTAAAGCATGCAAGTCTTAACAATCAGGCTCCCCTTTAAACCTGAAACATTCTGAACAAAAACCAAACAAAGAACCTGCCCTTCAAAGAGTAATATGAACATGATACATTTTAAATTTAGTAAAAATTTATTTTTCATATATTAAAATGTTCATTGGTTATATACACCAAAAAAATCAAAGTATCTGAACACAAAACATAGAATTAGTCAGTACCATGTGTGAATATTAGGTCACGTATTTAGTCTTCATAAGCCCATCTTAACATAGCTATGCAATGATTCTTGAAGCTCATGTGTTCAACATCCTGGGCATAAAATAAAATGAAAAAATTACTTTAAAAAAAAAGTTAATACAACGAGAGGGGTTTAACATGGTTTGCCTGGTGGGTTTCTTGATGAAAAGTTTCTCAGTGTCTTTGACTTTGTTCTGTTCCTTGCCTGAATACTAAACATTTTTGCTGCTGTCAGAACAAAACCTCATAGGTCCATTTTTGTTTTTATACTTTTAAAAACACAATTTGAAAAAATACAATGGGCTGGATGTATGAAGTTTTGTTCCAACGACAGCTCTAACTATATAGATCATATACATATATGAGATTTATGTGATTCAAACACTTATTTCATCCTGTGAAGGCCAAAGAGCCTGCTGTTGATGCTACATGGCATACTTTTAAATAATAGTCTTAAAAATGCCTCTGTTTTGAGTTATTCTGCTGAACAATACACGAGGCAGAAATGGACAGTTTTCGTCATCTGTCAAGCAGCATAATCTGAACTAATCTTAACCAAGCTGTTTATATGATGTAATGTGATGATGTGTTATGTTCATATGATGTGTGATGTACTTTGTCATTTTACTTTTATTTATTCTACTGAGTGCATTATGGGCAACAGTGTCTATAGGTATTTGTTTCATTGCGCAGCATTAACTTGTTTCATGAAGACATTTACTTCAAGAGAAACTGATTTTAGACATGAGGCTCACAAAAAAGAAAAGTTGAAACGAGTCTATGATTTCTCACTGGCACTCACAGCAGCAAAACTTGTGATGCTGGTAAAAATGGTCCTTTTCAAGCATCATCTGGGAGCGCTTCTGAAATAGAAATGCTCCAAAATTACTAAAAAAAAAAATCTAGTTGTATTCATTTCCATTCAAAGTATGGGTATGCACTGTGATATTTGTGGTGTTTTACACCTTGATGACTGTTTTAAGCCCAAAAACACTGACTTATAGCTCTACACTGTTTGCTTCCAGAAAAAAATACTAGAGCCTTCAACAGACCAAGCTCAGTACTGTCTAGTTCATGCTCACTTGTCAAATTGGCTGTTTATTGGAATAGCTAAAGTACTGATGTATGGACAAGTGTGCACTGAATTACACATAGAAATGTAATAATGTTCCTGTTATATGCAAAATACAGACAACAAACAAAGGCCTCTGAGGATCCATGTATTAATCTGAAGACAAAATTTGTTTCTTCAAAGTCTCCACTGATATATTTTTATTAAAAGGGTGTGTCTATGAGAACTTGTAGGGTAGAAGTGAAGTAGGAGAGACTTGAAAAGGCTCAAAGTGATGGCTCCGGGCCTCTGGGCTGCACTCCCTCCCTCCTCAGGCTCGCGTCAAAGCGTGGCGTGACCTCACAGCGTACCAATAACACATCGTCTTTCAGGAAGCCCCTCTGACGCAAGGCCTGCAGTTGCAAGAAGGTGACGTAGCCGAAGCCTTTGGGGTTGCGCTGGACCGTGGGCCTCTGGAAGGCCTGGAGATCGGGCTTGGTTTCCATCACCTCCACATGGTGCTGCCCCTCCGTCTGGTCCAGCACAGCAAGTCGGATGGTGCCCTGAAGTGGCCAGGATAGCTGGCTGTCAAACTCCCCCTGCATGGTGTGCACAAATAGAGAGATGTAGTTGGAACAACGGGGAGCACTGGGGGTTTGGAGGTGCAGTCGGAGGCAGAGTTTATAGCCTGGTCGACCGGTGTAGAAGGGTGGGCTATGGAGGACCACAGGGTGGCCTGCTTCCTGGCTGCGAAGATGGAGTGAAAACCCATCCAGCCGCCATACGTAGACACCTTGATACTGCTGGGCCTCCAGTTCACGTGTGGATTCCTCCAGCAAGGCCAGCTTCTTGCGCAGCTCAGTCATCTGAGTGGACTGCGTCTCGTTTCGGATGCTCAGCTCCCGCAGTTTTTGGTCCTGAATAACCAGCCGACTCTCCAGCTGCAGGACAGTCTCACGCAGCTGAAGCAGGTCCTGGCTACACTGACACTGCTCCGCTGGCCTAGCAGACGCACTATGTTCATCTGTGGGACAAGACGTCGGGGCAGAAGATGAAGGGATGAAGCCGTTTATTGTCTGGTTACGAAGGAATTCAGCCATGTAGCGCATGTGCATCTGTGTGAACTCTTGCATGTGAAGGGCCAGGTCGTTTCTCATCATCTTGGACAAAGACATGGCAAAACATCTCAGTCATTAGTTCTCTGAATACATCCAGAAATATTCAAGCAAATAATGGGGTTAAGAAAAGAAAACACAACAGTTCATTAGATGCTTAGCTTGCACTCACTGACATGTTCAAAAACGACAGCAACACTGCTGCACCCGATACACTCATACCAGCGCAACACCCACTAACTAGGCTTGCACCGGAAACAGAATCCTGTCATTTGGGTAACCGTGTGGAAAATAACTGTGGTAAACGGTTAAATTGGGACTTCCCTATGCAAGAGTACTTTTTTCTTTGTTTTACCGTTTCGTTCTTTATTTCCACATAAATTTTCTTCCAGTAATTTTGAGACTGTCCCTAATATTACAGTGGACACAAAAACAATTTTGTAGTAGTAGTGGTTGTAGTACAATGTAGTATATTGTCATTTGTTATCTTTAATTTGGCCATGAAACTGTAATTAATCTGGTTGGAAAGAACGAAATTACCTTGCATCTTCTGTCTGAGGCCATCTTGCATTGGGGTGGGCAATATGGCAAAAATATAATATCATGATATACAATATGAACCATGATTTTTAGTTTTTCTGAGATTTTCTAAGTTGGAACGGACAAAAATAAAACTTGTAGTGTCACATATAAAAATACAATAATAATAATAATTTTTGTAAAAATATTTATAAATTAAAAATGTTTTACAAACTGCACTGCACTAAATCTAATTAAACAGGTCTAATTATGCTAACTTGGTCATGAATCATGCAGTTAGTCAGTGTTGCAGTAATGACGACATCCCCAATATGCTCAGAAAAGCATATTGGGGCAATCACGTTGCCCACCCCCATTTCGCATGATGTCAAACTGTGGGAGAGCTGATATATGACAGTGTTTTTCCTGAGATCTGAAGCTGTTTTGTCTGTCTGAAACCTGACACTGTGGTCTAAGATATCCTGAAAAGTAAACCATAATGTAGGTGGCTTTTTAAACAGGCATGATCTAGATATCTGCTTTTTTAGACCGAACAATCTGTCTACCCATTATAAATATAATAGTTCAGTTATGTCACATGGGGGAATATTAATAACTTGTTATGGTTTGCATGGTTTACCTTCATGCTTCATTTACATTAACACTATATCTGATAAAATAACTAGTGAGTGTAGGTACAAGGTACAATACCTAATAAATACCTAATAAATTGGCAACACATTGTAATCTAGCAAAGCACAATGTCTTGTAATGTCTGCAACACTGCATTACCTTTTCTCGACAGCCAAACATGCTGAAAGTACAGGCAACGGGAGCTTTCAGACAGTCTGTGTCACAGTGGGACGCCAACTGAAAACAACAAATACAGTATTATAAACTAGAAACGAGCATTTCCTGAAGAAAACGCAGAGTGATTAAACAGCTTAAACAATTCAAAAATGGTTCCTAGGCGGTTGCTATGTTATCCAAAGTGGTTGCTATGATATACCACATGGTTAATAGGATGTTGCTAATGGACTTGTATCATCGTGATTTAAGCTGGGTGCACAAACCATTGATTCTTAAGGGGGAAAAATTTAGTAATTTAACGATAATTGTACAAAAATCGTACGTCCCATCGAAAAGCTGTATATAATTACATATAATCAATTTCAGATCAAACTAAACATTATTTTGTAAAACGTGGGATGAGTTAGCACAGTTAGCATCAATCCAGCAGAAAAATAAGAAAAAGAAGACGAACTATAAAAGTGTATTTCCTGAAAAAAATGCAGAGTGATTGCGCAGCTTAAGAAGTGGCCAGGCAGTTACTAGGGTACTGCCGAACAGTTACAATGGTATTTTACGCAGTTGCTAAGGTGTTGCTAAGTGGTTGCTATGGTATCCCGTAGGGGTGCGGGAAAAACTTGATTCTTAGATGCATCGCGATGCGGACGTGAACGATTCTGAATCGATTCATTCAACGTCAAAAATCGATTTTCTAAATATTTAATTTATAACGTAATGTTGACGGAACGCAAAAGGCTGAACTGGAAGTGGGAAAGTGGAGCGCCCGGACTGTCTGTGGCGGCACATAACAAAAACACTACTGGAGGAGCGAGAAATTCAACCGGCTCCCTCTGCATTAAAAGCCAGGTTAGGTCGGGAGTCACAACACAAATGATAAGAAGAGCCATTTTGCCTTTCAACAAAGTCAAACCACCTCGGGAGCCACAACATTTAATGCCCAGTATGTCTCAGTGTGTGATAATGTCCTAGTATGGGCTAAAAATATAAACGAGAGCGCAGATTTACTTCCCTCTGCTTTAAGCTTTAGCTTTAGCCGCTTTCCTCCCATCTCCGCCAGAAAACTTTTCTTCAAAACTAGAAGCGTTTCTTGTAAAATGTCCGGCTGTTTTACGAGGCTGAAGTCGCTTCTCATTCGCCAGTTTCTCGTTCTAATTTTCCCGTTCCACCTTAAATTCTGCCTTAGGCGCCGAATGTAACTGCTGCACCATTTAAGGTGGAACGGGAAAATACGAAAGTTCATTTTCGCAACTTTTTAGAGAAAGACAGTCTCTCAGCAGATTTAACCAACCGCGCTGCTTATAAATGTGAATAAGTCTCCAAATGTTCATCTTAATCTGTTTCTTCGTTCGCTACTGGCGAGGCCAGACCTCGGGGCTATGTGACCTGCTGTCTGTTGTCTGTTCTCAGTCGTTGAGAACCAGGGGTTTCGCGCTATGCTGCACACTTTGGAGCCGAGATTCAGCGTCCAGTCTCGAAAATACACTCTCTACAACGAGACCAAAAGGGTGGCTGTAACGTGCTGCGTGGACTCATTACCACTGGATCTTATTTCAGGGTAACAGCGCATTTTATCGCAGATGAGTGGCAGCAGCGTCTCTGAATGAGAGCCTTCTAGTTCACTTGCCACATCACTTCAATTTGATTTATTAATAAAAGATATTTTAGATAATTAAAGCAAAGTATTTGTAATGATCCGTAATGCATTTACATTATGGATCATTACAAATACTTTGCTTTAAAACTACCAAGTACTCAGACAGTAGGAAGATAGAAATCATGTATAGAGAAAAAAGATGCATCGATAATCGTTTTATAATCGCATCGCAGCCCTCTGAATCGTAATCGAATCGAATCGTGAGGTGCCTAAAGATTCCCACCCCTAGTATCCCGAGTGGTTGCTAGGGTGTTGCTAGGCAGTTGCTATGGTATCCCACGTGGTTGCTAAGTATTTCAGGTGATTGCTAACACGCTGCTAGATCGTTGCAACCTTATCTCAGGTGGGTGCCTGGGGGTTGCTAGGTTGTTGCTATGGTATCCCAGGCTGTTGCTCGGGGGTTGCTAGGATCTCTCACATGGTTAACTGGCTGTGATTTAAGCTGGGTGCATAAACTTTTGCCCCTCATTCATTTCTATAAGGGAAAAAAAAATCATTTAGCGATGACTGTACGAAAACTGTACGTCCAATCAAAAAGCTGTACACAAGCACATCATTCTCTATCAGACTGAACATTCCAGAGCTGTTGCTATGCTATTCTAGGTGGTTGCTAAGGTGTTGCTAGGCAGTTGCTGGTGATTGCTATGATATCCCACATGGTTAATTGGGTGTTGCCTTTGGACTTGTTTCATTGTTATTTAAGCTGGGTGCACTGGGTGAACTGTTGCCTCACATTCATTCCTAAGGGGAGAAAATTCATTATTTAACAATGATTGCAGGAAAATCGTACATCTAATTAAAAAGCTGCATACAAGCACACCATTCCTGATCAGACTGAACATTCCAGAGTTGGAATGGTGCAGATATCTCGAAAAACTGCGGGATATGTTATTGGATAAAATGCAGAAGAAAATTAAGAAGAAGAAAAAGAAGAATCAGTTGCAAGAAACTTCACAAAAAAAATTTTGTACTTATCATGCACACTTAACAACACATTTTACTCACCTGATCCCGAATGAGCTCCAAGTTACAGTATTCACACACTGTATTCGCAAAGGGACACATCTGCTCATGAAACTGCAAACAGAGACAAAAATGAATGGGTAAGAGTCAGATTTCAGATTCATAACATGTCAGTCTACCCCCAAATAATTCTGTCGCAAGGCTAAACCATAAAAAATTTGACATTTAGGGCTTCTTCACCTGTTTTTCAGCAAACATGATGCTTGCTGCACAGTCAGGGCAAGTGACCAGGCGTCGTAAACATTGATGGTTGATGTGCTCTTCCAGCTCACTCTTCCACACTGATTCCTGGCACTGAGGGCAAGGCACTGTGGCAAACTTACAGTGGGGCACATGATTCTGCAGAAGCGAAATACATACACATCCTTTAATCAATACGCTGAAAAACCATAAACTAGGCAGTGTAAAATTGTGTGTGGTTGCCTGCAAACCAGATTTTTCACTGGTATCAGTAAAGGTTTCACTTCTTAGTAAGGAGGCCTTTTTAAACTTTGCTGCATTCTTATACAGTGGAATCTACTCATGAACTTAACATATGGGCATTAATGGGGAACTAATAGCATCAGCAGCTCTAGGAACAGGCAGGATGTTCATCAGAATCAGTGGAAATTACCTCCAAGCGCCTGAGCTCCATTTTCTCATTACAGCCAACATTGCGGCAGCGTACGGTGAGAGACAGAATTTCCCTCTTGGCAAAGTTATCAGGGAAAAGCTGATCCTCTGTCAGCACTTCATTGTCAACTGGACATTTCTGCCCTGTGTCCCTACCAGAAAGTTAAAGAACAGAGTCAAAGTTTTACTTGGTCACAGTTATAATGACATCAAAAAATTCAAGAGAAAACACATTTAAAAAACTTTAATCAGACAGTTTGCTTTAAGACTGTACTTTTTAAACTGAAGTAGAACCATACTGAACAAAAAAGACCAAAGTGTATTTAAAAGCTCAGAGCACAGTTTTGAAGAGCTTTATTGACCTAACATATCATTTAATCTGGAAAGGGACTTCCACCAATTGTTCAAAGCTTCCGCATGATTTAATTGTTAAAATGTTAACAAAGTAATTCAGAAAGGTATTACGTGAAAAACTATATTTTAGAGAAACTTATAGAGTCAAAAGTGTTCAGAGTGGTGGTGATAGGAACCAAAGTTTAATGAAGGATATTTAAAACATCCTTCACAGAAAGTTATCACACGAAATAGTTAAAAAGTTGCCTGTTGCCTGAGATATTGTTTTGCCATAGTTCTGAGATAAAGTGTTCACGTATGCATTCAAAGCAAACAGTCACCAAAGAAAACTATTTTTTGTTTTCTTCAGATTTTCCACTTTTTTTTTACAATCACCAGCATTAGATATAAAAACATTACAAGACACAATAGTGGTTTTGGACAGCAATTAAATGGCTATATTCGTGTTACAGACATTGCAACCCCTGGTTCCTGTCACCTTAACTGTAAAGTTAAACCTAAATTCCTCTTTAACTGATTATTGTGCTATTAAGTAAAGCTGTATTTGAAACTATATATATATATATATTACATTAAATGCTAAAGTTGCTCACCTGATGGATTTCTTAATACAGCTATTGCAGAATCGATGGCCACATGGTGTCTGCACAGCTGACCTCAGGCCCATCAAGCAGATGGGACACTCATACTTGCTCTCCAGTGGGGGGTCAAAATCGACGTCATAGCCCTGCTGGTCTGGCTGGAGGCTGGCTGACACACTCAGGGTGGAGGGGTTCTCTGTGGGGCTCAGGTAGGACTCCCGCTCCTTCTCCATAGCTGCCGCACAGCTGGACTGCCACATATACTCATTGCACGAATCATCGAGACTGGATTTTGTGTCACTACACGCCATCTATATTTGCAAAAGAGGGTATGAAAGACATGGGAAAAATTTTAAAAATGTAAGCAGGCAGTAATATAAATGTACTAAAACCACCAGAATATTCTAAAACTGCAATACACTTTGAGTGGGGACGCACAATCAAATGGGTATCGGCAAACAACCTGGTTACCGGCAGACACTCGTTTCAAATTTTTATTGACATCAAAGAGATGTTTAAATTTAGCATTAAATGCATTGTGCATTACAAAATATAAAGCCATATTACAAGCTTTATAGAAACAATGCCATGACAGTGAAATGAAATCAATGAGTGGCCAAATTACATCTGAGCAACAAAGACTGGATATCCTGCTACACGCAGATTTTTGAATCACAAGTTTATCCTTTCAGCAATAAAGACTGCTTACAACCTGAAAAGGAAGTAAAATTTTTACTGTCCGAAAATCCAAAAAGTAAAAATTTACCTCAAGCTTTTATTTCATCACATTTAAACCCATTATAAGGAAAAGGCTTAACATGGTTTAATGCACTAAAACAACAACCTAGGTACACCAAATCAGTTTGACTTATTATTGGTCATAAGTTGTCTCTGCTGCTGAAAGCACGAACCTGGGATTAAAAAAGAAAGTAACAATTTTATGGATTATAAATAACCATAAGACTGTTACTAGTTACTGTCGGATCACAAGTTCATCCTTTTAACAGTAGAGAGAACGCATGACCAGTAGTAACCTAAGTAGAGAGCTTTTGCATTCCTAGTTGCTGTTTTAGTACATTTAGCCCTGTTTAGCTTTTTTCACGTTAAGCGTTTTAGAATGTCCCTGCTGTAGAGACCCCAAGGCAAAGTTAGCCCAGGCCCCGAGAATGATTTAACACGGCCCTGGCAGAAACACCAATTCATTCATGCACACAGTCATGAAGACGAACACGTACATATATGTTTACAAGTACACTCACACAGAAACTAACCTAGCTAACTCCTGGGGCGGGGCCGACGCGGGAGAAGAAAAAAGCTGTTCAAAGGTTTTAAAAACATGTTTAACTTTCATATTACCGGCTTGCTGGCAACCTAAGTCGTGCAGCGGTTTTTAGTATTCCTCGATCTAGTTTTTAATTCTGTGTTTACGTCTTTCCTAAGAGAGAGACACAGTGATTTAATCCTGCAGAAAACAACAAACTGATCGCTGCCGCTGAGAGCTTAACGTTAGCGGAGTTAGCTAGTTAGCTAACTAGCTCTCATAATCGAGTCCGTCCGGCCACAAATTTCTCTTTCTGAAATTCCCGTTTTTAATTATCTACGTCCATTAAAGTTACATTGTGGAGGCTACTAACCGTCCGTGCTATTCGGCCCCTTATCACTCTGTAAATGTAGATTTATTTATCCATTTTGTAAATAGTTTCGGAACTTACCTCGCTAGCAGCGCCTAAACTGGTGAATCTAGCCGCGGCTACTTCCGCTATCCGAACGTCACTCTAACGAGGTTGCCAGATAGATGGGAATCCCCCGTGCGCACGAGGCCGCCAGGGACTACAGTAGTGTCCATAAGAGCCGGCATCAGGGGTTTCCATGTGAGTTTCAGTGTTGATTTACTGTCATTATTTTTTCAGATTATAATAAACGAGCGTTTGAGAGATATGGATTCCCACCAGGTAGAGAAGAAAGAAATCTTGTGCGTGTTGTTTTTCTACTTTGCTGCTTCTGGCAACCATTTTGGTATCTGGAAGTAATTTTGATTGAGTACCTCGAAATTGATTTGGTACCTCAAAAAAAATTATTATTTTACACATTTTGAGTGTAATTATACATTAATTCAAAATTTTGATTTTCAAAGTTTTGAGAAAATGAGTCATTATTTAGACATGGTCAAAAATTTGACACATTGCTTTCAGAAACAGAGAAAGAAAGAAAAAAATCTCTATCTGTCAGGAATGGGCTTCCAAAATAGGACATCATACAGGCAAAGAAAAAAGTGGTCTTTGGTCTGCATACCAACATGGAACACTTCATGGCACACATTAATAATAATAATAATAATAATAATATAAATAATAATAATTATAATAGTAATAATAATAATAATATTAGTAGTGGTAGTATCATAAACCTTATTTACAGAGCTCAACATACTTTACAAACAAGTGATTTAATAGTAATCAGGAAAATTAAGTAAAACAAAATGGAAAAAAAACAAAAACAAACTAAATTAGTAAATACAACATGGAGGCAATAAAATAAAGAAAATGTGAAAAAAGGAAATATACAAAATAAAATATAACACTAATTAAAGGTAAATTATGTTTTTTTGTAAAGTATAAAATACTTCACTGCTTATTAAAAAGAGTTGAATTCCATGATTTTTGCATTAAAAAACAAAAAGAGTCCTCTCCAATTTTTTTGTATTTTGGAACAAGTATTTACAGAAGCTTAGGTATCTGTAGACGTACGACTACATGTTGGAATTTAAAAAGACAGACTATTATTCTGCTTTGAGTGTAATTCTTTTTTTGTCTTATAAAGCGAGGACTGAGTTCTAGATAGTCCAGATAAGTGTTTTAACTCTGCAGGTCAGTACTGGTGCTCCTGCTCTTCCCAGGTGCTGGTGCAGAGAAAAGGATGAAAATAGGAGATTGAAATAAGGAAAACAGAGTGTCAGACATAATAAAAGAATTATCTGCAGTATAGAGGAATCTTGATATTAAATTATGACTAAGATATTATCCAATTATAATTAGCATTATAAATAATAACCAGCTAGAATAAATATTTTTCACACTGATTCCAGTAAATGTGAAAGTATTTCAAAATGAACTACATTTCATTTCAAAGTGATCTACTTGTGTGTAGTGGTTCAGTGCTGTTTCCCCTGAGCAAAAGAAAAAACAATGTGACAGTGATAGGGCAGTCGGGACTATTACACGACCATGACTGCTACAGTAATGAAAGTTGGTCATTTAAGCTACTCGTGTAATGAGTCCCGCTGGTCTCAGTAGGTGCTGTGTATTTCAGCCTTGATGAATAGGGGAATACCTTATTTGTGAAAACTGGATTTTTTTTTACTTGATGCAACAGCACAGGGTTCTGATTGGAGGCATATGGAAACCCTGCTGCAAGTCACATGCTGGGAACAAAACTGGGTGAGTAACTGCGCATGGCCCGAGGCCAGAGAGTGTTGAAGGAGTGTTTTATAATGAGAGCACCTTTGTACACCAGAGGGCAGACGATTAGAAGTAGTCAGTGCCTTCACTTAGAATTAACAGGGATGCAAACACACTCACAAACAATGTTAAAAAGGTGTATTTTTTCCCACAATATACGTCACACTCTCTTGCAAAAAGGATAAATAATGCCACCTGTCGAAGTTAAATTCAAGTAAATAAAAATGAAATATGCAAAGTTATAGCACATTTTGAGCAAAAGTCAGAGACTACCCTTCATCTATTTAATTTCCAGTCTAAACAGCCAACAACTACATTATTGATTTTTAGGAGATTTTTCTGAGATTAGGTTTGAAATAATCCACCTGCATAATGAAGGGGAAAATCAAAGGAAAAAGAAAATGGGACTCTTAACAACCATGCAAGACCTGATAGACAACAAAAAGTGTCCCCAGTCAAAAATATTATATTATATTTAGTTGTTGACTTTTGTGTGAAGTGCCGCCAGGTTGTTTTTGTCTCCTGTTGACAGTATGGATAGTGTTTTTCAGAATATCCTGTCTTCTGTTTGGGTCTTCAGGCTTCTGAATGTCTTGCTCAGAATTCCTCTGATTGTTTTCATCCATCTTGTAGTTGGCCGTCTCCTCTTTTACCATCAGCTGTTACAAGCATAATGATTTTTCCAGTGAACCAGTTCTTCTCAGAATATGCCCAAAATAAAAGCTTCAGTTTGGTTATCTGGGCTTCGAGTGAGGATGAAGCTTGATATGGATCCATTTGTTTGTTTTCTTTGTTGTCCAAAGAGTCTTCTCCAACACCAAAGTTCAAAAGCTTTTCCTGTCTCACTTGTTTATTGTCCAACTTTCATATCCTTAAGATGTGAAACCTCCAAGAAGACCACAGTCTGGACAATTCTGATCTTTGTCTGTAGAGACAAATTGTTGCATTTGAAGATCTTTTCAAGCTCTTTCATCCTTTTTCTGCCAAATGCCAATCTGTGTCATATTTCTTGAGTGCTGGATCCTTTGTTGGTAATAATTGATTAGAGTAGGCAAAGGCTGTCTGACATTTCCACATCTTCTCTGTCAGTGTTAAGCAGTCTTTCGTCTTGTCATAAGCTCAGTCTTCTTCATATTGAGCTGAAGTCCCATCTTTTCACTCTTTTCTTTAACCTTCATTATAAAAGCCTTCAGGTCTCCCAGATTTTCTGCTATGAGTGTTGTGTCATGTGTATATCGAAGGTGTTTGATGTTTCTTCCACCAATCTTGAATCCTCGATCATCTTCCTCCAGCCCTGCTTCTCTCATTGTATGTTCTGCATACTGGTTGAAGAAATATAGTCATAGTATGCAGCCTTGTCTAACTCCTTTTCCAATGTGGACTCATTCTGTTTGTCTATTTTCTGTCCTAACAATTCAGTGGAATGTGCCGGTTTTGAGAGTATGTTATGCTTTGCTACTCTGCAGTGTCTGAACTTGAGCACATTGCCAAGGACACTTTGCTAAGGAAATGGCTTAGAAGGCAGAGATAGCATGGATTAATCATTAACTAGGCTAACTACTTTAGCTGATGTTAGCTAAGTCTGGAAGCAATGAAAATATATTTCTCTGACATAACACATTTGCACATTGTCCGCTGAGGAGAAGATTCCTTGTGTGTAGAAGACAACAAGGCCTCATCAGCTTCCAGTGTCACACTTAGCTCTGTTAACTGATTAGCTGATTTGAAGAGGAGGCCTGTGTTAAAATGAGATTGTATATACCATTTTGACATTATTGTATTGTTAGAAAAAGAGCATCTCAGAGAGGCTGAGTCTTTCAGAAGTTAAGATAGGGAGAAAGACTGTGTGGGCAAATAGTGTAACAATTCAAGAATAATGTTTCTCAGTGTAAAACAGCAAAGAACTTGGGGATTTAATCATCTACAGTACATAATATCATTAAAAGATTTAGACAATCTAGAGAAATCTCTGTGTGCAAGGGACAAGGCTGAAAGCCAGTATTGGCTATCCAAGATCTTTAGGCCCTCAGACAGCACTGCATTAAAAACAGACATGATTCTGTAGTGGAAATTACTGCATCATGGAACTCAGGAACACTACTGCAAAAAAACACTGTCTGTCAACACAGTTCATCACTGCATCCTTAAATGCAAGTTAAAACTCTACTATGCAAAGAAGAAATCATATATAATAGGACTCTAAAGTAAAGTAAGTAAAGTAAAGCTGCTGCCTTCTCTGGACACGAGCTTACTTAAAATGAACTGAGGGCAAGTGGAAAAGTGTTCTGTGGTCCAACAAATCAAAATTTGAAATTCTTTTTGGAAATCATGGACACTGCGTCCTCCAGGCTAAAGACCGTCAGGCTTGTTATCAGCACACAGTTCAAAAGCCAGTATCTGTGATGGCATGAGGGGGCATCAGTGCACATGGCATGGGTGACTGGAACATCATTAATGCTGAATGATATAAACAGGTTTTGGCAACATAAGTCTTTTTCAGGAAAGGCCCTGATTATTTCAGCAAGACAATGTCAAACCACAATCTGCACATATTACAACAGCATGGATTTATAGTAAAAAAGTTAGGGTGCTAAACGGGCCTGTCTGCAGATCAGACCTGTCACCCACTGAAAAAATATGGCACTTTATGAAACGAGAAATACAACAAGAGACCCCAAACTGATGAGCAGCTGAAATCCTGTATTAAGTAAGAATGAGAAAACATTTCTCTTTCAAAACTACAGCAGTTGGTCTCCTCAGTTCCCAAATGCTTATAGAGTGTTGTTAAAAGAAGAGTTATGCAGCAAAAAACAACTTTTTTGGTACATGTTGCTGCCATCAAATTCAGAATGGGCATATATTTTTCAAAAAAACAATAACACCTCAATTTTAGCATTTGATATGTTGTGTTTGTACTAATGTCAAATAAATATAGGGTTTAAATGATTTGCACATCATTGCATTTTGTTTTCATTTACATTTTGCATAGCGTCCCAACTTTTTTGGAAATGGGGTAGGATTATTCTACTTATTTCTAGATATTTTTATTTGTTTTTAGTCAAATTATCTCACTATATTGTCAGATAATTTTAATTGTTTCAAGCACATCTCTGACAACAAGCAAAAGTATCTGCCAATAAAGTGGATAATTTGACTTACTAAAATCTCTTAAAACAAGTGAAAATGTATAAAAATAGGTTAAATAATTTTATAATACATTTACAATAATGTCATCATTGTATTGTAAATATTAGATATATCAACTAAATTCAAGATAATTTCACTTCATTTTTTGCAGTGTGTTCCTG